TTCACCTGACCTCTCCTGACCAATCTGGTGAATCTGCAAAATTCACCCTTCGAGTTTCTGGAGATTCGATAGCTAGCTCTCGTGGTCTTGCAGGTGTAGGTATAGCATTAAGCACCAGGGCAGAAAACTCACTACTAGACTGGATCCCAGTTGATAGTCGCCTCTGCGCTATGAGGCTGAACGGCACAGTGAGAACTAAAAGGAATAGTGAGACTCGCCGTTGTCTCTTTGTAATCTCTGCTTACGCACCCACTGACTGTAGTTCGGATGAAGTGAAGGACGAGTTCTACCATAAACTGTCTAACCTCCTCTCGAAAGCCAAACGTTCGGACGTAGTGGTTGTTGCAGGTGACCTCAACGCACAGGTGGGTAGACTGAGTGAGGCAGAAAGGCACTTAGGTGGCACTTTCGGAATCCCAGCTGAACGTACAGATAACGGTGATCGCCTATTACAACTATGCTCAGATAACCGCCTATTTTTAGCCAGCACAAATTTCAGACATAAAGAAAGGCACTGTCTGACCTGGCGTCCACCGAGCTCGACTCAGCGATGGACACAGATAGACCACATTGCTATTAGTCATCGCTGGAGAGGATCGGTGGAAGACTGCCGCTCCTTCTGGAGTACGTGTTTGGACAGCGATCATGCGTTGGTCCGAGCACGTATATGCCTGCGTCTCAATGGACGTAGAAAAAATTTGGCAACAAAACCACTACGAGTTCTGCTGGACAACGAAAACACCAAAGCCGTGTTCAGTGAGAAGTTGGCTAGGCAGTTATCGGAACAAAAGACTGTCACTCATCCAGAAGAAGCTTGGTGCCATCTTCAGTCTACTGTAAAAGCAGCACTGGAGACTGTAGCCGACTCCAAGATAATGGCTAAAAAGAGCCAGTGGATATCAGCAGCTTCTTCCAAACTAATGGATGCACGTGAATGCATCCCTGCAGGCTCTGAGTACAATGAAGAGCGAGCGCAACTTAAAAATAAACTGACGAAAAGTCTGCGCAACGATCGTGAACAGTGGTGGGCAGCAAAGGCTAAAGAGATGGAAAAGGCAGCGGCGATCGGTAACAGTAGACAGTTATTTAGACTTATTAAGGAGACTGGGGGGAAATGGTCAACAACAGTTAGTGAGGTTATAGCGGAGAAGGACGGATCGGCGATTCACTCGCAGGGAAGGCGACTGGGACGATGGGCAGAACACTTTGAGGAACAGTTTAACTGGCCTCCAGCCACCATTGCGCTGCCCGCTATCCAGTCGGACCCTGAATGGGACATAGAGACAGGTCCCCCAACACTAGAAGAAGTTGAGAAAGCGGTAGGTAGCCTGAAACGGGGAAGGGCAGCAGGACCAGACGGACTACCTGCTGAGGTATACAAGAATGGTGGTAGAGTTCTCTTAGTCAGGCTAACGGAAGTGTTAGCCAGTATATGGGAATCAAATACGATCCCCTCCGACTGGTCTAAGTCACTGATCATCCCAGTCTTCAAGAAAGGCGAGAAGTCCTCTTGTGATAACCACAGAGGAATCAGCCTGACAAACATAGTGTCTAAGATCCTAAGTTCTATAATTCTCCGACGCCTGAGTGGAGCTCGGGAACAGCAAGCCCGAGAAAACCAGGCAGGCTTTAGACCTGGCCGTGGATGTATCGACCAAATATTCACACTGCGCCAGGTCCTGGAACATAGGCATGCTTACAGACGCCCGACAATAGCTGTATTTCTCGACCTGAAGGCGGCATTTGACTCCGTTGATCGAGAAGTCTTATGGCAGTGTCTGTCACTGAAAGGCGTGCCTAGTAAGTACATCACCTTATTGAAAGCTCTCTACTCGAACACTTGTGGGCATGTTAGAGCCTATGGTGAGTTGTCCAGGGAGCTATACTCATCAAGTGGTGTCCGTCAAGGATGCCCACTATCCCCATTCTTATTTAATTTTATCATAGATATTCTTATGGAGGTTTCCCTCTCGTCACCTAATTACAAAGACGTTGACCGGATCACAGGTGAATTTTCCTTAGATCTAGAATATGCAGATGACATAGTCCTGTTAGGTGAAGACGCTGACAAGATGCAGAGTCTTCTGAACACTTTGAGTGGGAATTTGAGAATGTTTGGGATGCGATTTTCACCACCCAAATGCAAATTTTTGCTCCAGGACTGGTCTTCAGCGGTACCGCGGTTAACAATAGAGAGTGAAGTGGTTGAGTGTGTTGACCACTTCACTTACCTGGGAAGTAGGATCAACCCGGTGGGTTAGTTGCCGATGAGATTTCTGCACGGATACAAAAGGCTCGATTGGCTTTTGCCAATTTGCGCCACCTATGGCGCCGCCGTGATATTCGTTTGTCTATTAAGGGTCGCGTGTACTGCACAGCAGTCCGCTCTGTTCTACTGTATGGCTGTGAAACATGGCCATTGAAAGTGGAAGACATGAGAAGGTTACAGGTATTTGACCACCGTTGCCTTCGTAGTATAGGACGTATTCCGTGGTGTCACCATGTGAGTAATGCAGAAGTTAGGTGTAGAGTTTTAGGGAGAAGAGGTAAGTCAGTCGACGAGGTTGTGAACCTTCATCGACTGAGATGGTTGGGACACGTACTACGTATGCCTAGTCACCGATTGCCTCGTCACACAATGTTGGCTGAGGTGGGTTCAGGCTGGAAAAAGGCCCGAGGTGGCCAGACTAAAACATGGCACCAATGTATGAAGTCTCTGACTGTTGGTTTAAGCCATGTAGGACGATGCAGACTAGGTGGTTGGGGTCCACGGGACAAGAGGAACCAGTGGTTGGAGACCCTAGGTGATATGGCTCAGAACCGAAGTCAGTGGCGCAGATGTATACACACATTATCCTCATCTTAACAACGCTATACCGAATCTCACTATTTTGTCACTCCTCTTTCCTTTCTTCTCATACTTTATATTTCTTTTGACTGCATTCACTTATCTTCATCCTTCACCTCACTACCTTTTTACTTGATGTGCTGATATGAGGTGTGGCAACTCGGACCGTTACGCAGTAATGCCTGGTCCTATGTTGATAATGATGATGATGATGGCAGAGGGTCGATTAGAATAACAGAGCACAAAAACTTAGGTAAATCAAGATTAATAGATCCTGATAACATAAGGAATTTAGAGAAAAGCTCAGCTATAGCTCTACACGCAATTATACACAATCACACAATAGGGTAGGATAGAGCGATGGCGTTAAAAACTAAGTTAGTTGAGTGGAGGGAGAGATTGATAACCGAATCTTTGTTCATCGAATCAACACGAAATATATGTGTGAATTTCTTTTCTAGAAAATCGGGAGAAAACGAATAAGCGACTTCTCAATAACGAACCAAACGTTCAATTTTGCGTAAAATCCAAAACAAAAAATTTGTCTCCAATCGTGAGGTATCTATGTGTTTGTCGCTCTCAAAACATTTGCAAAGAGTGCGTCAACAGAAGTAACAGCAAGGCTGTGTCCAAGCAACTTAGATGAGAATATAAAAAACACGCATTGGTTATGACAATGAGGTAATGACGCAAGATAAACAAATGTTCAAGGCAGAATAGATCAGGGAACAAAGAAGGAAATTAGAAGACCATTATGAACGAAGAAAGATATTGATATCTATGGATGTTAAATGGTGGACAAGATACACTGGAACAACGAATAGTCAAGACTGCGGGTGAAGCAACATCATAAGGAAACATGAGCTATGCTACTTAAAAATACTAAGTAGTATAAAAGTGAAGGTAAAAAAGGAAGTAAAAGGGAACATCCGTAGGGTAAACGAGAATAACTAAGAAAGGAATTAACAACATGTAATCGAAATGATTCTGCACCTGTCTCAGATATATGGAAAATTCTACTACTACCCTCGTCATCACAAAGAAGTAGAGAAAGTTAAGGATATATAAAGTCTGTCTCGAAGTTGTGGAGTTAACTGATATGAATATGGACGATAAATTATGTCCAAAACATTGGCCAATAGATGATGATGTTTCTTCACTGTGTGATGTATCTGATAAACAGACTAAAATGGAATTAAAATCTACTAGAGTGCCCAACTTTTACTTCTACACTATGTTGATGTTGATTGAAGTTTAATAGACAAAACTTCACAGTATTACGTTATTAATAAGTAGTTGTCACCGTCAAACTCAGTGAACACAACACCAAAATCATCCTTCATATCGTACCAGTCATAGTACATGAAATTCTCACTCATTCGATTTGATTTCACACTTGTATTAACCTTTACAAGAACCTATCCTTGAAAGACCATAGATTTAATTATTCTATTTGTATTGGTGCTAAAGGATCGAGGATGCCACTCACCAACTGACATTTCAATGTAAGTCGGATTTATTTCGACTTATCATTTGCAAGGAGATTAGACTAACATATAACGTCTTGCTAAATAAACCTCACTATGCTGGATACAATTGAGTAACGTTGAAGATTCTCTGCCTTCTTGTTACTTGATCTGTTATCAAAGATTCCGGCATCATTGATAGACTTTGGATAGGTGGATGGATGGTTAGGTGTCTTAAAATGCATCATTTTTCCACTCACAGTCGTATGATACTGAAAACATTTTATTCAAAAGTTTTTCATTTAGAAGTCAACTTTGTACGTATAATATTAACAAATGCACCATATGAGCTACAAATAACTTCAACTATATCAAAGTATTTCATGTAACATTCGTTGTACAGTGGAGGTGTAGCTCATTGGGTAAGTTTCAACCAATGGGTCACCTGCCCAAGCCCCGTTCCAACTACTAAGGCAATATCATTAGTCCCCAGACAACGCATGTGTAACACATTGCCTACTACACGGATATGCAAAAGAGGTTGCTGAGTGAGTGCATTTCGCTTTTAAGGGAAATTCATTCGCTGAGCAGGAAAAATGTCACTTTTTAAAACAAATTTCAATTAAATTATCAAGTTTTTCTCTTCGTATATCTCATTTTTACTTATTTATTTGTTATATTCTCAGAATTCTGAAGTAGCTTCATTAGCCGATGAGGTACTCAGTCATATAAGAACAGTGAAATCACTGACACTAGAAGATTTACAAATCAAGTAAGCTTTATTTTTCAAACTCTTGATATATATTCTTTTGAAAACCTGTTTGCATGTGTTAATAACATAAATAAGAGAATAGTGAAGATCGTTGCTACTTCAAAATCATTAATCAAGTTCACTGTGTGACTCTTGCGTTGTCACACTTCAAAATCGTACACAATCTGGTCTGAACGGTAGTTGAATTCCTCTTTCAGGAAGTACATAGACCTTCCAGGGTACCTAACCCCTAAGCTGTGGGCGTTTCTTACGACGATATGTTATTTGACGTCATGGGAGACGCACTATAAGTGCAAGCTATGTTGAAGGCTGTAGACTATATGCCCACTGTCTCCTCTGGGTGACATTCTACTAAGACTGGTTCAGCCAGCGTGCTTGCTTATATCTCGAGTATGGGTTGCAGGCCAATGATGACATCCACTCTAGTGACTGCACCAACGGTCATCATCGAATACTCAGAGCAGTGAAGCTGGAGAATGACTCTTCAGACGCAGTCCCCGAGTGACTCTTGAATCTAGTCAGTTGTCCGCTGACCATGCACGCAGTCTGGGCTGAAATGCGCGAATGCTACTGTTTAACCGCCGGAGGAAGATGGTTGGGTGTTAGTTGAATGACACATGTGAGGTACAGGGGTGTTAGCGGGATAACCCAGACCAGGTACTAGCTGCCATCCCTGTTAAGGAGGTGAGGATAGATGCCCGGGACTTTGGCAGCTTCTCTGTTAGTTGGATTGCATGACTTGTTGTATAAACCGTTTTCATGCGTATACGCCTAACTGGAAGCCGACCTGTTGTTAATGAGGTTAAGCTGATCCAGAAAAAGTAAAGACTTGTAAAACCTCAATAGCTTGATTCCTATATCAGCAATCATGTGCTGAGAAGTAGACAATGAGCCACAACTATTATGTGAGGACCACTGATACAACTTGGTTATCTAGACCTCGGTCGATTGAATGGGGTTCGTACCCGTGACGCATCAGTGAGAAGTTTAATGCTTTAACCAAAAAGCTACAGCTCTAGTTTCATAGGTTATGAGCGATTTCAGTTGTATCGTTTGGCCATGTTGATAAGCTTCACTTCCTTTACAGTGTCCAAGTTGAAGCCTTGGGATTTCTTTGTTTACCTACCTCCTCTTTCAAATCATCTTCCATCCTTTCTGTGTATATCTCAGGGTAGAGGTTTCACTGAGTGCCCGGTCTGGCGCATGATATCCCCAGTCAGCCTTCTCAGTGTATACCCAATCCATCTCCCTTCCTTCCACTGCATATTTGTTGAGCGATAGGTTTTTTGGTTAGTTCGTTTCCAGAGTTCCTTGTTGCTTATTCTTTCTGACCATCTGACCTTCAGTAACGAGCGTGGGCAGTCGTTGATGAAAGTCTGTAGTTTGTTGGAAATCCCTTTCGTAACGCGTCAAATCTCTGAACCATACAGGAGCACTGACTTGACGTTGGTGTTGAAAATCCGGATCTTGTTCCACATGCTGAGTGCAGAAGATCTCCACACCAGTTTCAGGCTAATGAACGCCTGTCTTGCTTTTCCGATTCTGACTTTGACTTCCTCGTCTGTACCACCTGTAGTTGCAACAGTGCTTCCTAGATAGGTGAAGGAGGCTACTTTTTTTAGGTTTCTCCCGTTGATGGTGATTGATGGTTGTTGTTAAAGTTGTTGTTGGTTGGGTATCTTCATCACCTCTGTCTTCTCTACATTCACTTGAAGTCCCGTCTTCCCTCACTGCCTCTTCTGCCAACTTGTTAGTTTTCGCCTGTAGATCTTCAATTTTGTGTGACATTAGACACAAGTCATCGGCGAAATCCAAATCTCCTTCTGGGATCTTTTCATCGGTCCAGCCAGCGTATCCCCCTCTTCTCACAGCTCCTCACTGTTTTTTGTATGATCCAGTCCACCACAATCAGGAAGATCATCAGTGATAATAGGCGGAAGCCTTGTCTTACTCCTCCCTGTCTTCACTTCAAAAGCATCACTGAGTTTTCCATTGTGAATTACTTGGCATGTGGAGTCTTCACATAGTTGTTGAGTGAGGTTGATAAACGTTGTGACACTAAAACCGTAGTATTGAAGCAACTGCTTGCCAAATTACTTCTCGGTCGACACTGTCGAAGGCCTTTTCAAAGTGTATGAAGTTGAGGTAGAGAGTTGACTGCCATTCTATACTTTGTTCTATGATGATGCGAAGCGTTGCAATTTGGTCCGCACATGATTTGTACTTCCTGAAGCTAGCCAGCCTGTTCCGGTCGTAATTTTGAATACAGAGCACCTTTTAACCTCTCCAGGATGATGCGGCTTAATATTTTGATTGGGGTGGACAGGAGCGTGATTCCTCACCAGTCCTTTCAAATACTTAGGTCACCCTTCTTTAGAGTTTGACAAGGTAGCCCTTCTTCTAATCGAAAGGTATCCCTCGTTTCTTCAAAACCTTCTGCAGCAGTGGTGTGAGCATGTCCGCTGTTGTCTCTGAGTCTGTTTTCAGTGCTTCTGGAGGAACTCCAACTGGTCCTGCTAGTTTCCCGGATTTCAGCAACTTCATGGTGTTCAGGACTTCACTTCTGATTTTGTCGGAGGGCTTGTGTCCACTGGTAATTTTGCGGTTGCCAGTGGTATTTCTGGATGAGTTGCAGGTGGTGGCGGTGGTCGATTCAAGAGCTTCTTGAAGTGGTCGGCCCATTGTTTCCTTTGTTTCTCTTCTTTGGTAATTTAATTTCCGTCATCATCTTTTATTGGTTTCATCCCAGTTGATCTCTTCCCAGACGGCAATAACCTGGTTTTTTGATGCAATGTTGTCAGGTCTCTCCTACCAGCCGGCAGCCTGTTCTGCTTCACTTGCCAGTGTTTCGTAGAAGTGTCTTTTGTCTTTCCGTGCACTCTTCTTCACTTCTTTGTCCAGTGTAGTGTTTTATACATTGTACTCAGTTCCTCTTGTCGTTGTGCATCCTTGCACTGCACTGGTTTATCTTCTGCTTCACCATCCTCCTCTCCTTGCCTCTATCAGCTTCCATGTATCCATCGAGATCCAATTCCACTTCCTTAGTCTCCTTTCTTCTTCCTTCCTTATACAGGTTATGCAGGTTTCTTTCCACATCTCCTTCAAAAGACTTTCCAGTGTTCTTCCACACAGGTTTCTTCAGGCATCTTCCTCGATATCTCCCATTTTGTCTTGATGGCTGCTGCCGTGAAGATGTCCTTTGTAGTTTCGTCCTTGCAGTTTCGTTCCGAGTGTTGTTCTTGAACTTGCTGGTCTATCATCAGCTTCCTTGAAGGCTTTCAACTTGATTTGGAAGGCAGGTTCCTTGCACTAGATAGTGGTATGAACCTATATCTGCTACCCATCTTGACCTTCTGTCCAGTAGTCTCTGTCTCCACTTTCTTGAGATTGAGATAAAGTCGACTTGATTTTTAGTGTGTCGTGTTGTCTGGTGAAATTCATGTCACTCGCTTTGTGGATATCCTTGTGCTTGAACACAGTGCCTCGCCTCCAATCACCAAATCGTTGAATGAACAGAATTCTGCAAACAATTCTCCATTCTCGGTTCATTTCACCTAGCGCTTGTCGGCCCATGGTTAGTTCCCTTTTGTGTTTTCCGCTCCCAGTTTGTCAGAGGTGGTTATCGCATAGTTATTAAATTTACTACTTAACTATCTAATTATTCACCTCAGCTTAATTAATGAACGGCTTAAATGAGGGTATGTAGGCTTCTGGTAGGTCAAGTTAATTCATCAGTTTTGAAATGTTTGCACTATCCGCACTTCCTTAGACTGGTATCCTTAGCCACTATAGAAGGATGACATGAACAGCAATTGCTGATTTGATTTTTAAGTCTTTCTCTTCTACAGGATTATTTGAAGTCCGTTTTGTAATGCTTGGATTTTATTCAGCATGAATAAGGATTTCGCCGGCTGATTCCTCAATATAATAAGCATCACAATCGACAGATCCTAATTTGAAGACACAATTCTATGTGGAGGTAAAGGGAATATTATCTTTTAAGTGAACTAAAGCATTGCTGAGGGTGTTGGTTGTCTTGTTGTGGGCTCTAATTCAGTGTTTTTAAAATCCTTTATGACTCTTCAGTTGTAGCGTGATGGAACAATAGAACTACTGTACTAATCCAGGACTCATCATTTAGTTTTCCTCTTCGATCCTTCTGCTCACGGTTTTTAACCTTTTTAATGATATTCTCAGGGTAGTTATTGGTTTTATTCTGGGAAGAAGTGAATTTTACGAGGTCACAAATGGTGAGAAACCTATTTTTCTACTTCATTGGGATTTTACAAATATATCACCTTTTCATTTTGTATAGCATTCTTTTTTATAGATCAGGACTTTGAAATGCTTCATATTAGTTTTAATCAGCCCTCTGCTTCTTGATATAATCAACATTAGTACTGAAGATTGCATGAAAATTATATTATCGCTTATTCAGAAGTTTGATACGCGATCCAGAGTGTCCAGCTACCAACCGAAATAGCCTCATTACCTTGAAGAAGAGTTCATTGTTACCGTGTAGGCACCCAACGTAAACATCCAACTACTCATTGTTTTCATACCTCAACATCGCGATTTGAAGGAATAAAAAAATGAATATATGTTTACCAGTTTTCATTGATGGGTGTAATGATGATTGCAGTAGGATTGATACCAGCAATAGATGTTTAGAGGAAATTGTTCTCTAAGTTGATGTTTCATTTGGCAAACACTGGGATGTTACGCTAGGCATCATCATCCGTACACCAAGGCTTCAGAAAGAAGTGAAATAATTGGTTGGGCATGGATACTTATTATGTTTTACTTTATCCTACTCCAACCTGGTTAATCGCTTAGCGAATGTGTGAGCATATTTTGAACCTGATTGATGGTGTCCTTGTCAGCACTTTTCTCAGAGAAGAGTAAAACTATGTGATTTTTTGACTTATTCTGTTTATTCTGTGTACCTTGAGGTTGTTTCGTCGTCATTGGCTGGTTTTGTTTGACTGAAGCTATAAACCTGGTCCTGATCCGATTGGTTGACTCTTGTTCAATAGAATGGGTTGCTTCGCGCTGATGGGCTGATTTGCCCCACTTGAAGAGGTGTACTTTACCACTGCTATGTTAGTTTCTATGAGGGAGGTGGGGTTCGTTTGCACTGATTGGTAAAATCCTAGCGTCTGGTTAGGTATACATGAGTTATCTTGATGTGATTGATGGGCAATCTTTTTGGTTGAGTTGAGGGTTCCTTTTCATTTGGTTTGGTTGGTTTCTGTCATTGGATTTTTTTAAGTACGCTTGTATATTGCGTCTAAGTTGAATTAACGTTTTTTTTGCTACTTTTCTTAAGTGCCAGGTCTTCAAAATTTGTAACTCTAGTTTGACAACAGTTATACCAATAATTAACTTTCCGTTGCTAGACAGCAGTGGTTTATGGAGAAACTCATATCCTTCTGTTTAACTAACACCTCATAAACTATGTAACCAAACTTGTATACTACAAACGTTTAAAAAGTTTAGACGAGAGAGATTGAGCTTACTTGACATATGTATAGTAAAGCTAAGAGCTTTGAAAATCAACCATCCTATTGTTATCTCACCTGGAAGTGATTTCTATACCACAAAATGTCACCTACTGGACACCAGCGAGAGTACTAAACATTGTCAGTACATCACCTAAACAGTATTTGCATTCTTGGGCTGTTATTTAAAAATATATTATGTGGCAAACCTATTCACCAAAACTGGACAGCAGTTTAGTGTTTACGCGACAGTGATCTGATTGAAGAAAGTCGTTTGCGTGTGAGTATCTTCAGACTGCTCCCATTCAACACTATCATCCACTCACTGATGGTTTTCCATTTTTATGCTATCATTCAGGCCATATCACATAATAACCACCGTTACCTTCGTAGCGTAAACTGTGTCATGGTATCACGACGTCAGTAATACAGAAGTCAAGTATAGAGTTTTAGCACAGAGAAAGAAGTTAATGGATGACGTTGTTAACCTTCATCGACTCACGTCGCCGGCTAGGACATGTGTTACACATGTCTAGTCACCGTCTGCCTCGTCATAGAATGTTAGGTGAAGTAGGTTCAGGCTGGAGAAGGCCTGAGGTGGCCAGACTAAAGCATAGCATCCGTCATTAAAGTCGTTTGACCAACGTTCTGAGGCGTGCAGAGAAATGTAAATTAGCTGTTGGAGTTTGCGTCACAACAAAAACAAGTGGCTGGAAACTCTAGATGACCCAGCTTAGAATCTATGTTAGTGGCGCAGATGTATCTACACCTTATCTTCATTTTAATCGCCGTATTGAATTCAGTACTTTCTCCTTCCTCTCCTTTACTGCTTCTGATAGACTCTTCTTCCATTCGGCATCTTTCATCTTACTACTTCGATACTTGATGTGCTGATATGAGTTGTGACAACTTGGACCACTGTACAGTAATACCTGATCGTATATTGATATTCATCCCTTCATATAGCGGCAAGGTTTAGGCTTTCATTATCGTTTTATCAACATATACTGAGAATGAACAGTATGTGAAGGCTGCAGGTATTTAAAGTAACGCGTAATCCTAACGCATAACTTTCTTGCCATGATGTTGTGAAGTGTACCATGTTGAGTTCGAGTGTAAGGACTCAAATAATAGAAGCCAGTCAAAATAGTGGAGTTGTGTTTTGGCGTTGGTTAAATAATGGTTGGAAGATGTGACTTGCATCGCCACTTACATCTGTCTCTCCAATTAGGTCTGCAGTTGTGGATCCATAGAGTGTTGAGGAATTCCATAATTTACCAAAGATTCAGCTTAGAAATATCAGAAAGTTAATTCTTTTGAATCATTCTGCTAAAAGAATTTGCAATCCAGTCAGGATTTCGGATTTAGAGTTCCACAAACTCCTATGCTTAGTATCTTACAACTGCTGAATATTCCTACAGAAACTTATAGGTATAGTTTTGTGTTGTTCATCATCATTTAGAGTGAGAAATAAACTTGCCCAGTATTTCCAATTTTTGACTTGTTATAATTTGTTCATGTCTGGATCAGGGTCAATCGAAACCGGCATCGGAAATCAGCTAACATTGTCCAATGTCTCACCTTTTCAATTTCTAGTTGTAGTGGAACTATCATCGAGTAAAAGGAATCTCTAAATCATAGATATAGACAACCCACTGTTTAGCGCAAGGAATTGAAACACATAAAAGAAGATTACCTAATTAATAAGTATCCTCTACAGTTCATTGAGAAATTCGTAAGAACACATCAGAAACAAAATGGTACCAATAATGCTACCAATACCAATAACAGCGACAATATAAGTAGAAAGGAGTTCAAAGCCTCTCTTGTGTTACCATTTAAGGAAGGAATATCAGACACTTTACGTAGTATTCTCAACAAGGCTGGTATTAAAAGCTACAAACTCACTCACAGATAAGCTTTGTCGGTTTAAGAATCCGATATATCCAATTGAGCTGAATAACCTAATCTGCGAGATTCCATGGAATGACTGTGAGGTCAAGTACACAGGTGAAACCAGTCGATGGGAGCCAATCAAATTGTGGGAACATCAGAATCTAGCCAAATAGAGAATAATAGACCCAATAGGATCAATCATCTAGAAGTAACTCAGCTATCGCAATGCATGCATTAACACAAAACCACACAATAGACTGTGTGGGACAAAACAACTGTACTTGAATTCAATATAATTAGATGGAGAGAGGGAGAGATTGATTACTGAATCTTTGTTCATCCAATCAACACCCAGCCAACACATGTGGAATAGGAATGTTGCAACGCGTATATCAGAGATATGGAAGATGTTACTACTGATCAAAACAAGGAATATGAGGTGGGTGACAGGAGTATAAAAATGGGATGTCGAATACTGTGTGATTATATCGATATGATTATGTGAGCAATAGTTCGTGCTTGAAATGTCACCACGTAAGTAATACTGTATCTCTGTGTGCTGTATATTAAATAGACAAATGTAATATGGAATTACATTCTACCACAGTAGCGAAGTTTTCTATATGTATTAGAGAATCTCATATTGTCCTCATCAAAGCTGCTTGTAACAATATGCGATACCTTCCATTTCGATCAGTTTTCTAATGCGTAGAAGTTTTGGTCTTCAGTCGGAAAGATTTGATTAGCTAGCTAGTGGTTAACCATCAACATGCAACCATTCAGGAAAGTCAACCACAGTGACAAGTGTGCTCGCATACATTATCTTTATTAATTGATCACTAGAGATCAACCGATTTCATGTTGTTTACTACTTCCTGCTGAATGAATTCCATTGACCATTTTTCAATGTGGTCACTAAGCTAGGAGGCTAACCATTGTGGTGGACTTTGATGGGTGTTAGTTAGTTGGAAGCAATCGTCAGAAAGCCGTACTCCACCTAGCTTTCTTGCTTGTTGACAGTCGTAAGCACGATATGTCTGCAACCTTGATGAGACTGATGTCTTCTTTTAGATTCAATAGATTTTGGCTAGCACTCAGGACTAGACAAAGTGAAATTGGTTGCTCTCTAGCGACTAACCAGTGTATGTTGTTCATTTTTACAAGGTGTTCATCACAGCCCGTATAACTCAGCAGTAACATCGCTGAATACAACACTGGGTCAAATGGTTTCGGATCTTAGACCAGACATCACTTCTGTCGAGGCTGGAGATATGCGGTGCTGACGAGTGCTAACAAGCACGAAGACTATGTGAAGTAGGGCTCCTTGCCAATCACCTCTAACCAACTGCCATACTTTATCTCCTCCTAAGTCTTAATACCTTATTGCTTTGTGTGTATATTCATCTCACCCTTTTTCGTCTCTTATTTGTGTACTGTTTAATGTTACGTTTTGCTTATTCTCAACCCAGTCATTTATCTGTTACTCCTTATACACTGAGGGTTGAGACTTTATTTTTCTTATTATGCTTCAATTTGTAAATTTTATATTGTAAGCTTTTTTTCTGTATCCTGTTTCCAGAAAGATAAATTATAATATTGATAAAGCTAAGAGCTGGGTGAGAAACTTGCCTTTGGGATTGGTTCATTTCAAGGTCTCTCCAATCTGACCTTGAGCGGTAAGTCATTTTCTTTTTGCTCACATTAGTTTATTGTTCTCATCTAGGACAGTTAAAAAGAGTGAAATAGTAGTGCGAGTAACTTGATGTTACTCCGTTTCTCAAAGGTGACGCCGTTTGATACTGTTTTGTTTAGATGACCTTGCGGATTCACCATTCTCGGAGCACGTTTTTTAGGGCCCCGATTTAAAGTTTTGTGACTGTTCATATCTTTCAGAACGGTGCGATCGAGTAGAACGTTTGAGAAATATTCGTACTCTTCAGTACACGAATTTGTGGCTAATTGCTTTAAGGAGATGCCTTTCAACTATTGGGTCATGGGTTTGAACCCCACCCCACCTACCAAGGTTTGAGCAGCCACGTAGTATCATTAACCCTCTCATAATAAATGTATGACTCATTGTCTACTGCATGATTGTGCTCAAGATAGTTGAGTGCATTCTGATTCCCCACTATCAGTACTTTTTCTGTTCTGAATGTCTACTATGAGAATGTTCAGATCTGCATAAAACAGACTGATTTATAAAAGAATAAGAAGATAGAGTCAGTGATATTAAGGTAAGCAAAGGTGTGTGAGCGTTGAGGTAATAAATCGATCAAAACTTTCTCATATCCTCTATCTCTATGTTAAGCAAATATTGAGGACTTTGACGATATCTGAGAGTTCATAAATCTGCTTTGTTGTGTTAGGTTTTAAACCATATCACCAGTTGTTTCCAAACACTGAGTGCCATCATCTCAAGGGCTCCAGACCATGTAGTCTATATCTCATTACGCAACCCAGGTCAACCATCAGAAACTAATATCGTATCCTCGTCTGATGTCCCTACAGCCAATCAGTCAGCATCACCGTGGAGCCTGTCATCTCTACGTAACTGTTCACGGTGTCCTACTGATTGCCTCCAACCAACTAACACGCTTAGTTTCCTATCAAAGAGGTTTATGTGCAAACATTTATTTCATTATAAACAGCTAGCTCATATTGGTGTTATCAGCCAAGCATCATCGGGGTCATCATATGATTTTCCCCGAGTTTTTGCTGAGCTTCACTTATTCGTGTTCACTTTATTTTCCGAGGTTTTGTAGGCTTCAGGTCATCTGATTAAGGTATATTACTTAGTTTTTTCACCCTTAAGCTGCAAACTGATGCCTTATGGCTAACTACTTAGAGCGTCCAAGGTGGAGTTTTAAACGCGGCTTTTCTATCATCCTTTTTATGACTGTTAGGTGGGTTAACCACCTACCCAATTTTGCTGTGAATTCATAGAGACTGTGAAATGACCAACTGGGTTTCTTTATTTTAGCTGATTGCTTCAGTAATTGTTAGTGTGACCTTTAGAATCACTCAACTAACTTGTGGCATTCATATTACCTAATCCTTGGATTTCAAGTGGGTATTCATCACAGAGTGACGTCATTTAGAGAACCGTTAGAAACCTGGAAGCACCGAACATCTATTTTGTCCTCAGCAGTGTACACTCAGGGGTCGAACTCAGGACCTTCAGGTTTCGCTATATCAACTGAATTCTGTGCACTGTACATTCAAAATGCCCCACAACTCTGCCTAGGTCCGTCAACCAAGATGAAGCTATTAGAATAGTTGTATCAAGACAGAAGAATGTCTCAATAGTCAGTAGTCATTGACGCATGTTGTATTGTAGGTTGATAGAATAGGTTGAACATGCATGGTGAGTAGTCGGTTCGATCTAAAAACTGCATACTTTAAATCTGTTTTCTATAATACAGTCATGCTAACTTCACTTGTTAAGGACTGTAGACCAATATTTTTACTTTTATGGAGGATTTTCATCATGGATCGAAATCAGTCAAAGAAGCTTTTATACCTTGGGAGCACTGTACTGCTGTTTTGTTCTAGTCTTGAAGCTTCTCAGCAGTCGACATCCATGATCCCGTAGGAGGTCTGAATCCGATGACTCAAGTTCTCAGCTTCTGTCAGTTCTTGTTATAGCTTTATTCTCATTCAATACAGTCGTCAGGTATTTATCCCCAATTGCTCGATTCAATCTAACACATAGGTCACATCTCTCCCTGACTTTAACTTCAGCAAGCTCATCGGGAAACAGGGAATTGTTTGTTGTTGAATTTGACTTTCTACTTCTTCACTTGAAGATTAAGATTTGTAACATCTCAATTCGGTATAAATTCTTCTTAGGCTTTAAGTCTATATGGAAAATAATCTGACCTCCTTAAACTTAATGCTGATACGAAGGTTGATTATTCTTGTTTATTTAACTTTACCTCAAGTCTTCTGGCTGTAAGGAGTAAGACCGTCGCATTCATATTCAATTTAAAAACTCTTGAAGGTAGTATTCAGTTGTATTCCAATTCTATTTGTCTTAAATCTCTCCGATTTCATTTAACTTTAGTTGCCTTTAGTTTTTATTCACTGTTGATTAGTAAACATAGAAACGACTTTTTCGTGTAGATGCTTGATTCTCACCCTATGCAGTGGTCATAAATTCGAATCCTGTTCCACCTATCATAGTCTGGGTCTTACACAATAAGTGTAATTCATTGCCTCATGTATGAACGTGTAGATGATTGCTTTTCATTTCATGCAAATAAGTCAACATTTTTGGTTATTTTCCAGTTTGATTGAGGTTTTTATTTGATCATCCTTTAGAGACTAGATATTTTTTCATTATTATTTTCTAAAAATTCCCATCATGTAAACTGGAACAAGACACATATAGGTGAACAATATGGGTTTCAGTTAGATCCTCTTCAGGCTTTACTCTAATACAAACAACTTCATATATAGTTTAAATATTCCCACTGTGATAATTAGAAGACAGGATTTGAAGCGAATATGTCGTATTTTGGTAAATTCTCATCAAGCTTTATAATTACATTTACAAATTATTCAGCATAGTCATTTGATACCAACATGGTTAATTGAATTCGGGTATATGAATTAGACAACAAGAAAGGTGATAACAACAAAAAAAATCTCAAAAAGTTTGCATATTCTCAGTATTTATACTGAGTGATGATTGAAGGTGAAAGGAAAATTTGAACCGCGGCTGGAGTCGAACCAGCGACCACTGGTTTCTGGCTCGATGTTCTATCAACTGGCTGCACGGTCGCTGGTTTGAATCCAACAGCCGCGGTCCAAATTTTCATTTCGCCTTCAATCACCACCCGTATAAATACTAGTCTGCCAAACCACGGATATCTCAGATAATCAAAATGATCAATATTCTCGGTAGTCAATTCTTGTGTGTGTGTGCGCGTGCAGGGATAGAGGGAAATAAAATTATTCTCACGGCTATTAGATAATAAAGTGTTAAAATTCTTAATCGGTTATGAAACTGAGGGCAAAAAATAAAATGATAATGATAAGAGTACAAACAGAGACAATATAAATGCAACAATGTAATATAATAAATAGATAATATATGCCAGCTGAAGACCGTAGGTGATAGTCGTGCTATATCGTGAATTGACAGAAGTTGGAAACTGAACCACTGAAAACCGATCCAGTGGCTAGATGGTTAACGTGTTCGCGGTGAAACCCCTGACTGGGTTGTGGGTGCCGCAGAGTCCCATACTAGGACGAAACAGCTGTCCGGTGCTCCCAGCTTCGCAGTGGTTCCCCAACTTATGTCAGTCTGTGATGAATACTACCTCTAAATTTAGATCCTCATTCATTTGAGTGATATTTGCATTTACCTGGGTAACTGGGAAGGAACGAATAAACATCTTCTGAATACATAAATTAGGTTTGGAAATTTTAATTACTATGGCTTCTGCTATGCTTAACAATCGGTGGAGCACAAACTTAAAGTATTGTGACGAGACTTTATAAATGATCGTAAATGCTAAGGTTTTGTCAATCTTATGCTCAGTATCTACTAGATGGGTGAGTATTGAGCTTTTGATGGATTTTATTGTTCCTTTGCCTAACCACCCTGCACAGTGTTCAGTGAAGCGATGATAGGCTTACCGACTCGTTCTACCTACGTAACTATCTCTATAAGAGTAGTTAAATTTATAAATGCACATAGATGTTCAACTGCATTGGCAACATACAGCGACCAGTAAATTTCAAACCTAGTGTGGAGACAAAAAAGGTTTTTTGTATCACATTTCTGAGTTTCAGTGTTAATGTTTCTGCAGCTGCATTTCCTCTGAACGCTAAGGTTAGATATAATCGTTTCCTCGGCTTCATTTAAAGGCGCTTTCCTCAAGTTATTTTACCTTGTTACAGTCCTTATGAACTTTTTGGGATAGCGACTCTCATATAAGGAGTTCTTCACTATTCTTAATTCGTCGTTCGAAGTATCAGCTGTACAAATCCTACTGGCTCGAAACTTCAGTGTATGGATTAAATTCCTTTTGTATTTAAGGGGGACGAATGATCGGAAATGTGTATACTGACGAACCCTTGATTTCTTACGGTAAATACTGTATCTGACACTGCCATCTGTTCGTCTTGCTGGCAAAACATCTAGAAATGTCAGACATCCGTCTTTCTCTATTTCACATGTGAACTCGATTTCTGGATGACCGTTGTTGAATTTATCGAGAAGAATGTCAGGATTAGTATCATTTTCGTGCAAAATGAAAGTGTCATCCATGTATCTACAATAGAAGGACAATGTATCTATCGTGCTACGCAGTGGTGCACTTTCCAATTTCGCCATGAACATCTCGGGTAGAAGAAGACCTAATGGTAAACCCATTGGCACACTTTCTATCTGATGGTAAATTTTTTGTCAGACTGAAATTATAATTCATCGTACAACGAAGAAGCAGCTGTCATAGGGTTGCAAGTGGTATACCTACCTCCATCTTATTATCTAGCTTAACATATATACAATGAACCCAATCATGTAGATTTGTTGGTTAAGGTGATACATGTTTTAAGATAGTGCTGGTGAGGATAATACAAATAATGAAAAGGACAACGTTGACTAAAGTAGTTGTAATATAGATGATGGTAAGAACTAAGAAAGCAGCATGAAATGTAGACACTTCGATAATCAAAGTGGGTCCAAAACTGGCTTGTAAATATGAGTTACGTAATACTGAAGGATGAGATGAGTAAAGCGAAAAATAAGAAAGGGGTAGGAGAAATTGATAAAGCTGTTTATTAAGTATTCCCTGGCCGAGGGAGAGATGAAGCATATACAGACTTTTTCTGGATACAAAGACTAGGATTACTAGCTTGAATTCTCACACCTTCTGCTGTGTGGTTTAAACGACGAATTCGAATATCTTTCGAAAGATGAGGTGGTATGCAATGAACAGTCGTGAAAGCATTTTTCTTATCTCCCAGCTGACCGCTACCAACGAGATGAGATGAAACAAAGCTTATGATGGATTTTATCTGTTCCTTTCCCAACCACGAAGGTAAATGCTCAGGAACACGTCTCTCTCTCTCTCTCTCTCTGGCTAAATCCGCACTGAAAAGCAGCTTCATGAACAAGGGTTTCTTTTGGACGTTAATAAATTTAGGTTTCTTCCTCTCCCCTTTATCCATGTATCTTTTTATTTTGTCTTCTACCGGGTCGTTTAATTATTGTTTTCCACGTATTACATGTGTTTTGCCTGTTAGTGCCAAATATTGGCTTATTTGGTGTCAATCATTAAAATGTTTTGCTGCATTAAATGGTGTTGTACTTGGAGTATTGTATATTGGAGGTCATTTAATGTCTCGAGGTGAATTAGACCCTGGTCATTTAATGTCATTACTGGCTACTACACAAACCTTACAACGTTCACTCTCACAGTTATCTTTACTATATGGTCAAATAGTTCGTGGATCGACTGCTTTGAAGCGCATTCATGATGTAAGTGAAATATTATAACCCTTGTCTATTTCTAGGATTCTGTATATCTAGTAATTTAAGGGTTTCATATTTGTGAACTCAAAGTCTGTCGTCTGTTGAATTTCAATCCACTGGACTATTTACAAACTTACATCAGTATCATTTATCACTTTGACTATCTGAGATAGTTGTGGTTTAGCAGACTTACGTTGATACTGAGTAATGATAGATAGTCAAACTAACAATCAACACGATTCTCCTCTCTCTAATTCAAGTAGATTTGCATTGGGATGAGAAGTCCTGATTGGGCGACCAATGCGAGTACGATCAATGGGATAGTAACGCGTCGCGAATTCAAATCATAGTCAAGTGAAACCCCTTTATGATTGAAGTGAAATAAAAATCTGATCAGTAGTCGGATCCTGTGACTTACTTGGTAGAGCACCAGATCGGTAACCCGCGTAGGCCTCTGGTTCGATTCTTGCATCGACCCAAATTTTCATTTCGTATATATATATGTAGAGAGAGAAAGAGAGAGCTAAGTCAAAAGGCTTATCTACATCCTCGGGAAAGTGAATCTATGACCGAAAATCGTGAACTTTACTTTTATATGTGGCGTACACTGAAGCTGTCTTCTAGTTAGTTAGGTTATAGTTCCTTCTCAAACTGAATTGTTTGGAATGCACTCAACAACTTTTTGCACAGCAGGCAGTAGGGCTAATGATACTACCTAGCTGCCCAAACCTCAGTAGGTGTAGCAGGGCTCGAACCCGTGACCCACTGGTTGAAATTCATCTCCCTAAAACAATGACCCACAGCTCTTTCTCAAACTGCCAGATTAGGAGTCATAAGAATGATAGCTTTTGAAATCCAGTTAGTAACAACTAGCGTGCTGAGTTTGGAATTATTGACAACTCCAATGAAAAGTTATTCTTCTTGTGAAACCAAGGGAAATAATCTCTAGAGGAATTATCATTATTATTTTTCCAATGCTCTGAGATTCATACAAATATAAGTTATGCCTGGTGTCAACTTTTCACTTGGTGCCCAATATTTGTGAAACTATCCGGTCAAATCTTGACCAGGATTCATATCTGAAACTAAGTCACCTCCAGCCTAAAATTCATTTGCACTAGTCTGTAAAGTGTCTAAACAGTGAAAATCCCTTATGGATTTGAAGTACATTTGTAAAACCCAATGAGGTAAAAAAAGAAATAGTTTCTAACGTTTTACAACGTCGTGAAAACCGTTTCTTCAAAGAATGAAACCTGTACGTGTTATCTCATGTTTAAGTAATAAGTGGAAACAAATTAGCTCATGTCATTCGTAGACGCATATGCAAATGATCACAGTAGGCATTCACACCCTTTTATGTATGTACAGACAGATTCACATCTTCACCTTGAACTCATAGACTAATAACTGATAAGGATGACATTTATTCCCATATCATTGTTATCACGTATAAACAACGTGGTCCGATTTGTCTCCATTTATTATTTAGACATGCGATAACTTGTACTGGTTTATTCTCTCAAGAAGTAGCTTTCATGAAGTTGTAAAACGTCAGAGAATTATTTTTCTACCTCATTAGGACTATATAGATATATTCTTCGATAAACCACTGAGCCAATGTTCAACCTATTCGATTTTTATACTGGATGATGATTAAAGGTGAGATAAAAATCTGGACCGCGACCGGATTCGAACCAGCGACCACTGGATCAGGCCACGGCTATCTCAGATAATCAAATGATAATTATTCAATTTTATCAAGTCAAGCATACAAAACCCTTGTGGACTGATTTATATCAGTTAGATAGTCACTTGAAATCAAAAAAATATTAGTATCACCGTGGGACCAGTCATCACTGAGTACCGATCCAAGTTACCATACCTCGTAGTATCATCTTATCAAGTAGCATAGTAGTTAGATGAAAGGTGAAGAAATGAAGACGAATCAGTCAAAGGCAGAAGAAAGAAGTAGAAATAGAGGAGGGAGGAATTAGAAAATGCTGAATCCAATAAAGCGATTAAAATGAGGATAATGTGTGGATGCATTTGCTCCGCTAATGTTGATTCTAAACCGTATGACCCAGAGTCTCCAGACACTGGTTTGTGTTCTCAACCCTTTGTGTTCCCCAACCGGCTAGTTTACATCTACCTTCATTGCTCAAAATAACAGTCAAAGACTTCATGAATTGATGCCATGTTTTAGTCTGGCCACCTCCAACCATTTTTCTAATCTCAATCTACGGTAACTAGGGCTGCCTAACACATGTAGCAACCAGCGACGCGAGTCGATGAAGGTTCAAACCTTATTAACTGATTTTCCTTTACTACTTAAATTCGTACACATAACTTCTGCATTACTGATATGGTGATAATACAACACCCGGTCTATGCTTTGAGGGCAATGATAGTCAAACACCAGAATCCTTCTCATATCCTCTACCTTTTTTGGTCATGTTTAAAAGCCAAACAGTAGAACATAGCGAACTGTAACACAGTACACTCGACTTTAATAGGCAGTCGGATATCGTGGTCTCGCAACAGATGGCGTAAGTTGGTGAAAGTCAATCGAGCCTTTTGTATCTGTGGAGAGATTTCATCGGCCACTGGCCCGTGTGATAGTTGCTTATTTGCAACCAAACCAAACCACACTCTGCCTTCAATAGTGGTAGATTGCTGTCATTCAAAGTTTACAAAACTGCTATTCACGTTCATCAACAGCATTCGTATGTGTCACTAGTCCTTACATTTGCACTTTCACATGGTAGAGGACACGTTTGTTTCCTATGCATTTCACGTAGACTTTTCTGATAATGAAGGGATTAAATATTCTTGTCTACTACTCCCAATCATTTAACAGATTTCATCGTGATATTGAGTCATATAGGCAAGTGATTAGGGTGTATTGAAATGTGGTTCGATCAGCACCATTTAGTTAACATTTCGGAAATAGATTTCTATAAGTATAGTTAATTAGATTCTGGGATCAGGGATTATTTCTTTCCTGGTGGTGTTCACATGTTCTAAAATTCTCAGAATGTAATAAGTACTATGAATAGCAACTTGAAATCAGTCAATCAATCCCCCAAAAACCGAATCATTGCCTAGCGCTTATTAATGATTTACGTCGAGATGATGTTTCCTAAAGTTCAAATGACAAGTGGTAAACGGTGGGGCAAACGAAGACGAATGTGACGACAGGTTCTCAACGACGACACTAGATGAAGGTCACGCCAAATCGCGAACTAACAGAAGTAAGAAAATGTGGACCATCGGATTCTGATCCAGTGACTCAATGGTGTAACGGGCTTTCCGCGAAACCTGAAGGTCTTGGGTTCGACCCCGGGTGTGGTCTTATGGTTGCGCACTGTTTAGGAGTTCTATACTAGGATGAAATGGCTATCCAATTCTCCCAGGTTTCCACTGGTTCGTCGATTGATATCAGTCCTTGGATGAATACAGACTTGAAGTGTGAATTAGTCCATATGGTAAAAGCTCATCTAAATAGTTTATCTCAGCAGGAAAACCATCCATTTAATCAGTTTACAAGAACCGCTTCTATGCTGTTTTTGAATTATGATTACACAGCTCATCTCCGCACAGGAATAATAAGAATTGTAAGCGAAATCTCTTATTCATAAGTAGTCAGGTAATTCTAGTAATTCGTGATAAAGTAGATAAATGTACAGTTTTGTTAGATGACAATATTACTGATTGTAGTCCATTCAAGAAAAGCATCTAAGATTGTAATGACATACTCAACTGTCACATTTAACTGAAAACGTTAGTAATATGAGCACACGACTCAGGAAAGGTAAGCAGACTTGTTGATGAGGTTGTAAACCTTCACCAGTTAAGGTTGCTTGAACATGTGTTCATGCTAATCCACCGCCTACTTTGATGTGCAATGCTAGCCAATATAGGGTTACGTTGCAAGAAGCTCATGAAGTCTCTGACTATTAGTCTAAGCTATGTTGGTAGGTGTAAACTGCCTGGTTGGCATTCTTTAGGCTACAGGAATCAATTGTTCGAGATCCTAGGTGACATGGTTGAAAGTTGTTCACAATGGTACAAATTTATTCACTTTTTGTAAAGTTTGAATGTTTTGACTAACCTTCATTTTTAAGTTCGTTTGCCCCCCCCCCCCCCCTATACAATTTCTCCACCATGATACAACTTGAATTGGTGTGTTCCTGTACCAGGTTCTGTGCTGATTTTTTCTGTCTGTCTTGACTCATTAATTCATGCATGTGATAAACAGCTGCTGAGTATTATACACATTAGGTTCCCATGACTAACTTTAATAAAGCAAGCCTAAACACGTTCTCAGAATGAGATCAATCCAACGTATTTATTTGTAGTCTTTTCAGTTGCTTACTGAGTAGAGAATGTACCTCTATTAGTTTAGGGAGATGACTTTCAACTATTGCGCTGCAGGTTCGAACCCCACCCTATCTAACGAGGCTTAGGCAACCACGTAGTATCACTAGCTGTCACACAATAAGTGTAACTCACTGCCTACTGCATGACTGTGCACAAAGTAGCTGAGTGCATTTCGATTTCTCTTACTGGGTAACAAAGCCAAAACATTTTAACATAATGTGATGACGTATGAACAGTAAACGACATAGCCATAAAAAAAGAATTGTTGAAGTGATTTCTTATCCACAGGGAAACTTCTCGGAATATTGTTGATAATAGATTACTCAATATAACAACAGCGAAAAAGTTGAGGAAGTATATGAGAATCATGAGGAAAGAAAATGAAAACTTGAGTCCAGTTTAGTCAGTTGTAAACGCATTTAATATGAAAAATGAAAAGGGATATTGGGGTTGCCTTACATTATACCCAGGATAGATGCAGATTCACCACCGGATTCGTTATGAACGCAAAGTTCACGTTTTAACCCAACCTTCATGAAGAGAGGTAGGCTGAAACTGCATTGTATGCTGATTATTTTGAACATATTTTCAATGTCAACGTCATGCATTGTATAAAATAAATCCCGAGGTTTTGAACCATTAGTACTGTTAGTGATTTGTTCACTGGATTATCAGTTTCTTTTTGGCGAAAACAAATTTCTAACATTATATATATATATAATGATATTTTCTCATGAATACAATACGATCAGCATCATCATTTTTCAGTTTTCGTAGGTTGCGTTAATATTTGGAAAGTAATTTGGAGCGGGTAGTATCCTTAATTCCATAGTTTTTTTTCTTACTAAGAGCTGTAAAAGACGCTTGGTAATATTACTATAGAGCCATACAGTTTCTCTCCATTGAATGTTATTTTGCAGTTCAGAGTCACTCTAGGTTACTGAGACCGAAGTTGAATGCTTTTCAATTTCTCTCTCCCTTCCTCCTTCCCTGTCTGTCTAGCTGCCTTTCTCAGATTGAGAAATATAACTAGTGTGAGGTGCCGCTGATTGCTCCAGAACCTAGTGAAGGCTGAATATCTGCTCGATACACTCACGGTCGGGTCTGAAACCACCTACTTTTCTCGGGCTTTTTCTGTTCCAAAACTTCACTTAGGCGTCTATTTCCCTGTGGTTATCAAAAGAAGATATGTCGCTTTCATTGATTGATCACTCAGAAGGGACGGCATCTGATTCATAACACTTCAGTAGCTCTAGTCAATGACTCTCGATCATCATCCTTAAAAATATTTGATAATAATGCTTGGTTATCTATTTTCCTTCCTCGTTTCAGGTCACTTATAGTCGTCTTGACTTCTGAAAGAGTTGAGGGTCCTGTCTCAGTGTTCAATTCAGTCTTTGACTAGATAATGTGCACCAAAGTAGTAATCGAAGATCGGTTGGACTTTCCTTCTAAGTTTTTCAAGCACCGTTCTAGTTGTCGTCCTTGTGAATCAAGACCTGACCCATCGTCCTCCGCCATAGTTACAGTAACCATTGTGACTTTTGCCCCAGTTTCCTTGGTCGGTTTTAATAACTATCTACTGTTACCTATTACTGATGTAGAAATTAGACTGGTGTTTCGGATAACTAGGGAACACAGTTTGGTTTCCGATAGCAATACAGCTGTAAACGTTTATGTCATAAACTTCAAACCTTTACTTGTACACTAAAGCAGCAGACATAATAGAATATCACTCGTTATTTAAAAGTAAATTCGGCATTGATTGAAATGTTAACGAATTATTATTATTATTATTACTTTTTCGTTAGCCGAACGAAACATACTCGGCTACCTTGCTCACATCTGTGAAGTAAGCATTGAGCCACACTTGTTGTGTCAAGGGTATTGAGAAACTACCTGACTGCACAATCCCCGCTATGTGGGGTGGGTCTCGACCCACTGGTTGATAGTCTGTTAATTTTTTGAAGAATTTGTTTTTTCTCTGAAAGTCTTCAACTTATCACTCCTTTCTTAATGTTTTTTTTGTCATAGATATTAAAACTCCCCAGTGGAATTGGAAATACTTCGTCATCATCATCATCATTTCCAGATAAGATGTATGTGAATGAAACAAAAATTAACCTATTCACCAGGTTCTCCTGCACCGAGTATATCATTTTCTAGTGTTCAATTCGCTTATCCTAGTCGTCCAGAAAAAGAAATATTCAATAACTTGTCAATGTGTCTACCAGGTGGCAAAGTGATTGCATTAGTTGGCCAATCAAGAGCAGGTAACTTGATTATATAATGATATAGGTGGGTTGTAGTTAATTGGTTTTCGTAAGCTGTTGTAAGTATGTGAGCAGTTGTTACTTCCCTCGGTTACCCTTACACTGGGAAAGCTTGTTTTTGTAAGATGTCTGAAAGGGAGATTGAGTCATTTTTGCCTGACCTCAGATCATAAGAGACGTCTATGTGTGTGGTCTGTCACACATATGGCCTTTTCAAGGGTTTTGAATAAGGATTTGATTGTTTTACTGTCGGACAAGAAAGACGTATACCGCCGGTATCACACTGCTGCGAGACAGGGAGGAGTATGCAATTTTAGGGGACCGGCCTTTTCTAACCACTCCTTCCAACGAAGAAGGGAGCTTGACCATGGACTACTGGTCATGCATAGGAAACACCTTACTGCTGTCACACCTCATCCAGCCAGCAGTACAACTCTTCCCCGAAGTTTCATCATACGGTACCTCTTAACACTACGTCATTGCTCATTGTAATATACATGACTGAGACTACCATGTCGAAGTAGTAAGTGTCGGTGAGGAAACTGATACTTGTAGAATTCCAGCACCATGCAGTTCTTTAAAAGAACCGATTGTTTGATCATTTGTCTGTCCAAAGGAAAATTACAGTTCAATGAACGTAGAACTGTTCAAAGAACGCAATAGCTTCAAATCACGATTGTTCAACTACCATTTAATCTCCATAACTAATTTCTTGCCTTGAGTTTTACTGAGTATTCATCTGTTCTAATTCCAGGAATAACATGTGGCAGATATCTAGTGCTAAAGAAAGCCTTGGTTTCATGTTGATAATTTCTTGACTTCCGGTCTTTATTTCATTACAAAGTGACTCATTGTCTTACAATTTAGTATACTTACTTTGAATTTTTCAAGTTGATATTCATCACGAACTGATACCAGTTGCAGAACCATTGAAAACCTGTGAGCACTGGACAGCTCTTTCGTCCTTTTATGGGGCTAGTCAGCAGTTCACATCCCTGACCCTGCCAGGGATCGATCCTGGAGCCTTGGTGTTTTGTTGCCAGTATGTTACCAGTGGTACCATCTTTCCTATATCTGTCTGTTCGCCATATTTCGTGACATTCATCTAATCCTGTGGTTGAGTATCTGTCCTCCTCCACTGATGTCATTCGTGGTGAATATCAACTGAGATTATCTTGAATATTATACAACTTTTAAAGTCACTGAGTGATGATTGGTTTGAGTAGTAAGTTGAAGTATAAACTTGTTAACTATTGTTCAAAAGGCAGTAGCTATGTCTGCTGCTACAAGTAGAATATATGAAGCGATTGCAGGGTTTTGATCACATGTGTCTTCGTAGCATTGCTAGCGTTTGCTGGGATCACCGTGGGAGCGATGTTGAAGTCATGCGAAGGGTACTACACAAGACAAGTAAGTCGATTAATGAGGTTGTGAACCTCAGTCGACTGAGATGACTTATACATGTGTTGTGCATGCAGAGTCACCATCTACCTCGACGTCCCATGCATCCGATGGCAGATTGAATTCGATTGGAAGAGGAGGGTTCAGGGTGGCCCAACCAAGGCGTGGCATCAGTCCATGAAGTATTTGACTGTTGGTCTGAGGCATGTATAGAGATGTAGACTATCTGGTTGGCTGATGTTCCCAAAACGACAGGAATCAGTGGTTGAAGACTCTCCATGGGATTGTTGAAAATCCGTCATAATCGTGTAGATGTATTTATTCCTTGACGTCTTCTGAAGCTTGAATATTCACATTAACCTTCATCTTCAATTTGATTATTCTCTCATGCAAATGTATCTACCTCGATATCTATCTTTTTCTATCCACCAGTTCTTTGCATACTACTGTGAAGTGTAGCAAGTTAAGTTGATGCACCTGTGGGTGATGTTCTGTGTTGATTTTATCTGTCCTGACATGTCTGAAGGTATGAAATGATTTGAAGCGAAATCTATCTCAGTAACTCATCCATTACCCTCCTTTTCCAAAATCACGAAGTTATTTTTATTCTATATTTCGTAATTATAGTTGCATTAATCATTGATTCTTTTCCACCCGTCTCCTCACAGGTCAGGGCATAATGGCGTGCATTAGCTCTAGAATTACTACAGTTGTCCATGTGGCGTTTGCAATCTAAGAAACCATTCGCGATAACATCGTATTAAGGCAATTTACTTAAACATATATAGCTTAATCTCTGTAACAAGCATATAACTACTGACAAGATCAACTAGTTTATTCACAGAATGATATACCCGTTATTTACACGCATAAATATACATCGATTTTCAGGCAAATGGGAGACACATCTAGGTTTTGCAACCACGATGATATACAGCCTCATCCTCTGACGCAACCACATAGGTACCCTCACCCTGATGGACCATTTTCACTGTTTACTTGCATAAGCAAGCGTAGTTACTCCTATCCCCGACCGAAAGCTGCTACGTAGACGTGTTGGTCGGGCTTGCAATCAAAATAATAGTGGTAGACGTAAAGCAGTTACCGTTGTGGTGTAAATTGCTACACTGTGATCGGGGTCTGAGGGCGAAGTCGTACTGCTGCTAGCTGGATGGGGTGTGACAGCAGTAAGGTGTTTCCCTTCGATGACCAGCAGTGCCATGCTGACGCTGCCTTCTCAGTGGAAGGGGGGGGTTAGAAAAGGTTGGCCCCGAAAATAACACTCCACCATGCTCCATGTTCTGCCGGGCCAGTGGTGTTGGTTCATTTGTCGTTTCCTTTCGACCATCCGGCCCCAAAAATACAAAAGTTCAAAATAATCATACACAAAAAGGCTGTGTGTGACAGGCCTCAAGCGGATGACCGATGGGCTCTGAGGTCATACAAATCTCCTTCAGGTACCTTAAGAAGAAATAGCCTTCCACGGTGTGGGCAGCCGGGAAGTGTCAACCGCCCTCACAACTCTGTCAGCACCCAAGTTTCTTCTGACTGCTATCCTCCTCCTCCATCATTACCTTCTAATCTTCCTTCACGTCTCTTAATTAATGATGCTGCATCATCTTCAATTTCTCCTACCTCTGCAGCCTTCGACAACGATCTGAGTCCACAGAACAGCATCCCTGGTCTCCTTAAACCACGCTCCAAATTACATATTGGAGCCTTCAATGTCTGCACCCTCCGTCAAATCGGTCAACAGGCTTCGTTGGCGAAGACTCTAGCAACTCGGGCCATGGATGGATGTGTGCTGTGTTTGTGAGACACGCATACAGACCCAAGTGCGGTTATTCACCTGACCTCTCCCGGCCAATTTGGTGAATCCGCAAAATTCACCCTTCGAGTTTCTGGAGATTCGATAGCTAGCTCTCGCGGTCTTGCAGGTGTAGGCATAGCATTAAGCAGTAAGGCAGAAAACTCACTACTAGTCTGAATCCCAGTTGATAGTCACGTCTGCGCTATCTGGGTGAATGGCACAGTGAGAACTAAAAGGAATAGTGAGACTCGCCGTTGTCTCTTTGTAATCTCTGCTTACGCACCCACTGACTGTAGTTCGGATGAAATGAAGGACGAGTTCTACCGTAAACTGTCTAACCTCCTCTCGAAAGCCAAACCTTCGGACATGGTGGTTGTTGCAGGTGACTTCAATGTACAGGTGGGTAGACTGAGTGAGGCAGAAAGGCACTTAGGTGGCACTTTCGGAATCCCGGTTGAACGTACAGATAACGGTGATCGCCTATTACAGCTATGCTCAGATAACCGCCTATTTTCAGCTTGGACGAATTTCAGACATGAAGAAAGACACTGTCTGACGTGGCGTCCACCGAGCTCAACTCAGCGATGGACACAGATAGACCACATTGCTATTAGTCATCGCTGGAGAGGATCGGTGGAAGACTGCCGCTCCTTCTGGAGTACATGTTTGGATAGCGATCATGCGTTGGTCCGAGCGCGTATATGCCTGCGTCTCAATGAACGTAAAAAAGATTTGGCAACAAAGCCACTACGAGTGCTGCTGGACAACGAAAACACCAAAGCCGTGTTCAGTGAGAAGTTGATTAGGCAGTTATCGGAACAAAAGACTGTCACTCATCCAGAAGAAGCTTGGTGCCATCTTCAGTCTGCTGTAAAAGCAGCACTGAAGACTGTAGCCGACTCCAAGATAATGGCTAAAAAGAGCCAGTGGATATCAGCAGCTTCTTCCAAACTAATGGATGCACGTGAATGCATCCCTGCAGGCTCTGAGTACAATGAAGAGCGAGCGCAACTTAAAAGTAGGTTGAGAAAAAGTCTACGCAACGACCGCGAACAGTGGTGGGCAGCGAAGGCTAAAGAGATGGAAAAGGCAGCGGCGATCGGTAACAGTAGACAGTTATTTAGACTTATTAAGGAGACTGGGGGGAAATGGTCACCAACAGTGAGTGAGGCTATAGCGGAGAAGGACGGATCTGCGATTCACTCGTAGAGGAGACGACGGGAATGATGGGCAGAACACCTCGAGGGGCAGTTTAACTGGCCTCCAGCCACCATCGCGTTGCCCACTATCCAGTTGGATCCTGAATGGAACATTGAGATAGGTCCCCCAACACTAGAAAAAGTCGAGAAAGCTGTATGTGACCTGAAACGAGAAAGGGTAGCCGGACCAGACGGATTAACTCCTGAGGTATACAAGGATGGTGGTAGAGTGCTCTTAGGTTAACGGAAGTGTTAACTAGTGTATGGGAATCAAATACGGTCCCCTGTGACTGGTCTAAATCCCAGTCCTCAAGAAAGGTGAGAAGACCTCTTGTGATAACCACAGAGGAATCAGCCTGACGAACATAGTATCTAAAATTCTAGGTTCGATAACTCTTCGACGCCTGAGTGGAGCTCAGGAATAACAAGCCCGAGAAAACCAACAGACTTTAGACCCGACCGTGGGTGTATCGACCACATATTCACACTGCGCCAGGCACTGGAACACAGGTACGCTTACCGATGTCCGACAATGGCTGTATTTCTCGACCTGAGGGCGGTGGCACTCTACTCCGTTGATGAAGTTTTATGGCAGTGTCTCTTACTGAAAGGTGTGCCGATTAAGTACATCACCTTATTGGAGGCTGTCTACTCGAACACTTGTGAGCATGTTAGAGCCTATGGTGAGATGTTCAAGAAGCTATGCTCAACGAGTGGTGTCCGTCAAGGCTGCCCACTGTCTCCATTCTTATTCAATTTTATCATAGATATTCTTATGGAGGTTTCCCTCTCGTCACCTGACTACACGGAGGTTGACCTAATCGCAGGAGAATTTTCTTTAGATCTAGAATATGCAGATGGCATAGTCTTGTTAAGTGAAGATACTGGCAAGATGCAGAGTCTTCTGAGCACTGAGTAGCAATTTGAGAATGTTTGGTATGCGTTTGTCACCACCGAAATGGAAATAGCTGCTCCAGGATTAGTCTTCATCGGTGCCACGGCTAACAATAGAGAGTGAAGTGGTTGAGTGTGTCAATCACTTCACTTACCTGAGAAGTGGGATCAACCTTGCCCTGGTGGCTCAGTGGCCGATGAAATCTCTGCACGGATACAAAAGGCTTGACTGGCGTTTGCCAATTTGCGCCACCTATGGCGCCGCTGTGATATCCGCTTGTCTATTAAGGGTTGCGTGTACTGCACAGCATTCCGGTCTGTTCTACTCTATGGCTGTGAAATATGGCCATTGAAAGTGGAAGATATGAGAAGGCTTCAATAGTCGCAAGAAATGTCAACATGCACCGTGCAATGTATAAATAGTTTTGAAAGATTTGGCTTTGTGAACGGGATGTTTTCTAGTTACACCGTTGAGGAGGTTGGCACCAAACAAACCAAAAGGGGCTATTTGGTGTTTAGGTCTACAAAACAACAGTCTGAGTGAGTAGTTTCTAACTACTCATGTTTTCCAGTAGTATATTCCACCTAATTCCATGATTATCTTTATTGCATTGTTTTCATTTTGTAATTGTATTACCACTTAGGTAAATCTACTGTAGTCTCATTACTGGAACGATTTTATGACCCGAAAGCTGGTCAGATATTGTTAAACAATCATAAGTTGACTGATTTTAATGTGAATTATCTACGTAGTAAACTAATTGGATACATTAGTCAAGAACCAGAAATATTCAATACTACAATCAGAGAAAATATTCGATTCGGCCGCTTTGATGCAACTGATGAAGAGGTATATAGTTATTGTTGTGAAAATTTGTTCCTTTGTTTTATATACTTAATATTTCCTACTAGTTATGTCTCGATCTCTATTTTCTCACAGAATGCTGACGTATTTCCAGCTTCCACGGCATCTATTTTGTTTTATTCGCTGATTTAGGAAAAGGTTGATCGATTATATATGACCTTGGACGCCTGCAACATTTGGCAAATTGGTAACATTGAGGCCAAAAAGGAGCATGGAGAAATTTATTGTACAAAGTGTTCTTATGTTGTCTTATGTGTCTTCAGAAGCATCGTGACCGTTGCATTTGATGAGCAACCGAATAAAATCATTAATGAGTGACTATAAACTCCAGGACAGCAGTTAAAGTCACTGTAACGATGACGTCTACTTTGTGTGCTGTAATCACATTGGAATCAAGTGTTTTGAAGAAGCATGAATTAAATAAGTAAAAGGTTGAAGAATCATTGGAAGCCTAGGAGCACTGGGACACTTCAACAGCACGGACTCTCAACGCTCTCCGAGATCGAACGCTGGACCTTCAGGTCTCAAGAATTGACAGAAGTAAGAAAGTGTAAACCATTGAACTCCGACCCAATGGCTGAGCCATAGCTTGCTCGCCGCAAGATCTGGAGGTCTTGAGCTCAATCGTCTATAGCATCGTGGGTACGGACTGTTAACGAATTTTATACTGGGATGAAATAACTGTGGAGTGCTCTCAGGTTTTCAGTGGTCTTCCAACTGATATCGGTCCGTGATTAATATCACTTTGAAACCAATCATCCTTACAAGCCTCCAAACTAGGCGAAACTTGTTTGGAAACTTGGTCATTTAAAGCTATCTACAGATATTTATGATTGTTTTACAATGTTGTTACAGCCAATACAGAACCACGTGTTGTTCAGGTGGAATATAAAAGACTACTTGGACGAAAGTACAACAGAATAGCTTACCTGCTCAGCATTTGTGTGTATGTATTTATTTATGTATTCTTATAATTTTATCTACAAAGAGTGTTGGATACATTCTAAATGAATATGAACACATATAATTTGGCCCTGTATAGCAGCGTGAAATTACTGGTGTCAAATAACGATTGATACCTGTTGCACAAGAAGTGGCTTGGTGGATAACGGTTTGGTGTTTGTGACGTTGTGTAGTTAGTTCGAGTCTCTGTGAGAACAACATCACTTACTGGGGTTCAGGTACGTACATCCTGCTGATGAGTCCCAAGTAGGACAAAACGCACGTCCTAAATTCTCCTAGTCATGAAGATGAATGAACATATACATAAATTTTCTATGCTAGGTGGATTACCAGTACACTGTCAGTCCTTCTAGTCCCCCCCCTTTGCATTTATGTCCCAGTTTTCTATTTATGGTGTTATCGTATTGATTATTCACCTCTCTGTACATAGAAGTTGCTAGCACTATAGTTTTCATGAAATTGTCACTGCAGTAAGTTATGATTAGCTATATCTTTTGGTGATGAATGATATATTGTGTTCCATGGTTGCCATGATTAAAACACAGTGGCCTAGTGAATGGGTACTGAGTTTGACTCTCAGCGGGGACAATGCCACTCACTGGGTTGCAGGTACATCCAGCTGACGAGTCCCAAATAAGACGAGATGCGCATCCTGAATTCCACCAAGCTGATTACAACATAATGAATGATAGGGCAGTATTGAAGCCTTCGGCCCAATATACCACCGGGAAATTACAAGTATCAATAGACAAAAGAGACCAATTTTATTTGAGACTGTTTGTTTTTGTAGATGTTTTGTTGTATGTTTCATATCAGTCTGGTATTCATCATGGACTGATGTTAGTTGGAGAACCATTGAAAAACTGGGAGCAGCGTATAGCTAGCTTTTTCGTCCTAGTATGAGACTGCTGAGTAGTGAGCACCCACTAACTCCGCCAGGGACTGAACCCAGGTCCTTCACGTCTCGTGTCGAACTCTCTAACCATTCAGCCATCGGATCGGATTTCATCGGTCCACAGTTTTGTACTTTTTTCAATCTCTGATATAATGTCAGTCGTGATGAATACTTCCTTAAAGTAGATAAAATCCACGTAAACCTGAAATTAAATTACGCTACGGCTAACTGTAAGGTTTGTGTTTTTTAGAAATCATAGGTGTATTTGTAAGACAGCACAACAGGATTTAAACTAGATATCCTCTGATTGCCTATATGTTGATATACCAACTGATTTGTGAAACACTGTCTAACTAGATGATAATACCATTGAGACTGATGGGTGCGATGCACTCCTATCATGGTTAGAAAGCGTAAGTGATTTTTCGCTTATAATCCAATTCTTCCAGTCCTCAATTCAAGCTGGTAAAAATACCTTAAAGAGATGGATCAATGAGATAGTTATTTGTTAAAATGGGCTTTGAAAAAGCGAACACCTTCTATCCAACCCAACGGACAGCTGCGACGTCGACATTTTGGTTGGCCATACATCCCAGAAATGACTCAACGAGCTATACTGGTGGAAGACCTTTTGGGGTCAATACCACAACGATTTGTTGGATAGTGGCTACTCTATGATGGGGGGTTGAGAGCGAAATTGTACTCCTGACTGGGCATGGTGTGAAGGCATTTAAGGTATCTTCCCCCGGAATCATCACTAGTGCTGAGCTGATACTGCCTTCCCTATGGGAAGCGGAGTAGAAGAGACCTAAACCGAAAATAGTTTATTCCCCCCTGTACTACAGTCCTCCGATACCAGCGGTGTGGTTATGCTAACTGGATTCAATACAAAGTTAAATCTGGAATTCCGAAAAACTTCATGTGTACCAGCCTCATGGTGTCTTACGACCTCTGAAAATAGCCACTACTACTAATTTGCAGTGTAGGCAGCCGAGAAGCGTCAATTGCTTTCATATCTCTGCCACAACTCAAGTACTCTCATATCATTATCGAACTTCAATATATCTGCCTTCTAATCTTTACTCACGTCTTTCGGTTAATATTCCTACGTCATTAATTTCTTCAGCGCTAAAGCTATTGGTAACGATATGAATGTATGTAATTACATCCTAGCCTCCGGAAACCGCCCTACGAACTATACTTTGCAGCTTTCAATGTCCGCACCCTGCATCGCATCGGCCAACAAGCTTTACTTGCCAAAATTCTGACATCTTGGACCATGGATATGTTCTTGTATGTGAGATACACAAACAAGACTCAAGTTCAGTTATTCACTTCAGCCTTGACTGTCAATACGGTGGATCTGAAAAATTCGCATTACGAGTTTCTAGAGATTCGATAACTAGTTTGCCTAGTCTTACAGTGTAGGCTTAGGGTAGGAAATGCACTGCTCAACTGGATCCTAATTGACAGTTGCCTGTGCGCTGTTTAACCAAACGGTATAGTAAAGACTGAAAAAAAATAGTGAAACTCACCCCTGTCTCTTTGTAATCTTTACTTACACACCCACCCAGTGCATTTTGGATAAGGTGAAAGGATGAGTTTTGCCGAAGACTGTCTAGAGCATCCTACTAACCGACAAACGTTGAGATGGAGTTGTTTTAGCAGGTGATTTCAAAGCAAAAATGGATAGGCTAAGTCAGATAGAAAGGTACTTAGGTGCAGCACTTTTAGAATCTCATGTGAAAAACCCAATAATGGCGACTACCTGAAACAAATGTCGTCAGATAATTTTCTACCAGCATGAACTTCAGGAAGTTGGTGGCTCAATGATCGACTGGCGACGAACCAACCAAGAAAGCACCGCCCAACAAAATATGCAGAAGGAAATGGAGATGGATAGGATTGAACATACACTGAGAACACCGATTGGGGACATCACGCGCCATGCTAGTCCAGGCCGTCGAGTGGGACCCGCATGGGAAACGACAAGTTGGGCGTCCGAGGTAAGGGTGACATGGAGATTGTGTGAGGAAGAAATGAAAGCTGGTAGGCGGTCGTGGAGCCAGGTTGAAAAAACTGCAGAGAAGAGAGTGAAATGGCGGTGTGCTACTGAAGCCGTATGTTCCACTAGGAACCCAAGGGAAAAAATAATAACAATAATAAAGCACTAACTGGCTTAATGATGCAGTTATACACTTTGTTTAATAAGAGACTGTTATATATTTATGATATATGTAAATACGATTGTACAGCTTTAAAAGAAGGATATCGTCGAAGAAGAAAACTTTCCTTTGCTGAATTATCTCTTCTTTTCCCTAGTTATTTATTGTTTATGACTAACCACTCGAGAAATACAAATACCTCATTTACTTCTCTAGTTTCTACGCAGGTTATCTCAGAATAGTTTTTCACATTATTATATTTACAATTTTCAATTTGTTGATTATTTTCAGCATCTTATTTTCTAAAAATTAACATCTTCATGACTTACTTAAAATCTCTGTAATTATCGTTAGTTAACCCTCATTCCAACGCGATTTGATTGACTGTACACTTTTAAGTATAAGTATAGAGGTAAAAATGAAGATCTAATTGAAAAGTAATATATTTCTTCACTCAGTCAGTCAGTTTTGTTTTTCTTAACTGATTTGCACGAACTCATCGAATAAGTATCTTTTAACTCTGCTATTCATTGGTTTGTACATTTTAAGGTTGAAGAAGCTGCAAAATTGGCTCATGCTCATGAATTTATTACACATGATTTACCTATGGCTGTGATACAGAAGTTGGTCAAGGTAGTGGTTCAACAGCTGGTTTAAGTGGTGGTCAACGTCAAAACATAGCAATAGCACGTATCTTGTTGAAGAATGCTCCAATTCTATTGATGGATGAAGCTACATCAGCTTTAGACGCTGAATCTGAAGCAAAAGCACAAGATGCATTAAACTTTGCTATGAAAGGTTAGTTGAATAGCTGAAATTCTATAATTTTGATGTTAGAAAATAACCTATTTGTTTTATATTCATGAGGCATACTGCATGACTATTAAGCGAAAAATATCTGAAGTGTACTATGTTTTTTTATCGAATACTCTACTGGACAGACAGACAGACAAAATCAACACAGAACATCACCCACAGGTGCATCAACTTAACTTGCTACACTTCACAGTAGTATGCAAAGAACTGGTGGATAGAAAAAGATAGATATCGAGGTAGATACATTTGCATGAGAGAATAATCAAATTGAAGATGAAGGTTAATGTGAATATTCAAGCTTCAGAAGACGTCAAGGAATAAATACATCTACACGATTATGACGGATTTTCAACAATCCCATGGAGAGTCTTCAACCACTGATTCCTGTCGTTTTGGGAACATCAGCCAACCAGATAGTCTACATCTCTATACATGCCTCAGACCAACAGTCAAATACTTCATGGACTGATGCCACGCCTTGGTTGGGCCACCCTGAACCCTCCTCTTCCAATCGAATTCAATCTGCCATCGGATGCATGGGACGTCGAGGTAGATGGTGACTCTGCATGCACAACACATGTATAAGTCATCTCAGTCGACTGAGGTTCACAACCTCATTAATCGACTTACTTGTCTTGTGTAGTACCCTTCGCATGACTTCAACATCGCTCCCACGGTGATCCCAGCAAACGCTAGCAATGCTACGAAGACACCTGTGATCAAAATCTTGCAACCACTTCATGTCTCCCACTCTCAATGGCCATGTCTGACAGCCGTATTACAAGACAGAACGAAGTGCAGCACAGTATAGTCGGATAACTCGCCAGTTGGTGCCACAGGTGACGCAAGTACACAAATGCCAAATAGAGGTTGTCTACCCGAGCTGAGATTTCGTCAGCAACCAACCCGTTCGGGCTGATACAACTCTCCAAGTGAGTGGAGTGGTCGACAAATTCCACCACTTCACTCCTTATCATTACATTGAGAGTGGTTGCAGACCAGTCCCGAAGGGTCATCTAACATTTGGAAGATGTAAATCAGTGGTTGGTGGTAAGACAATTCAAGAAGTTTTCGGGTTTATGTATAACCATGAGTTCCTAGAAAGTGTTACTTGAGAACACTAGACCCAGTGGTGATTAGTTTTATAGTTCTAAAGACGATGAAAAGGGAGAATAGGAGACTTTTACTACAGATACCAGCTTTCCTATCATTTTGTGAAACAATATGATTTTTGTAGCTATTACTGGCACTTAAAACTTCTGTGTTGTTGCATTTGTACTGATTTTTACCAACCGTAGATAAGGCTGAGAAGACAATTCACCGTGAAAATTTATGCTTAAAGTTTTAAGGATTTTTATCATAACAAGTACGATGCTCTCAACAGTTTATAAATTTCTGGTATGCCACACTGAATTTTCAACTTTCTTAGTTCTCCAAATATGTAATGTGGTTTTTTTACTGGACGGAAGATATTCTCGAGATAAATCTTACTTTCTTAATCATACCTGTGGCTGTACCGATTGTCCATAAAAGAATCTAGTTTGAGGTTTATAAGGATTTTATTTATTTCAAGGTAGTATTTATCACGGAGTGACTTCACTTAGAGAACCATTGAGAAACATGGAAACAGTGGGAAGTTGTCTTGTCCTAGTATGGGACTCTTCAACAGTGTACACTCATTGCTCTGCCCAGGGATCGAACCCAATACCTTCAGACTAACTGGTAAATTGACCATATTTGGAACCTGTTAACCATTTAATTCCAACCTAGTGGCCGAATGGTTTAGTGAGTTATCTGTGTGACCTTAAGGTCATAAATTTTACCCCTGATAGGGTTGCTGGTGCACACTGCCAAGGTTTCTTCAACGGATATCAGTCCATAAGGATACTACCTTGAGATAAACGAATCGTTGAGAACACTTTCTATCACACTACCCAGTTGAAATCATCTATGACAGTGATCATGCCAACTTATAAGATTTTCGAACAGGGAGTTTATTGGTGCATTGAGAGGTGGTTGCTATACATACGATTCTTGAAACTATAAGATGAAAAGAAACTCATAACATCTTAATTTCACTTTTTGGCTTTTGGCATTCATTATTTTTGATGTTAAAATGGAACTACTGTCTATTTATTTAGTAGTTCAATAGAAAGGAGCAAAAATACTCCTGTTCCGCGTGCGATTTATCTTAGAAAAAATTTATCATTCCACAAGTTTCTCAGTGAAATATCATTGTTGACATACCGTCACATGTATAGATGTTAAGTATCCCCACTGTTAGTTACAAAGTTTCTAAAATCTGACTAGGCCTATTACAGTGTTTTCTTCAGAGCTGACGTCATGTTTAGAACTTTTTGCAAACCAGGAAACCGTTGAAGTCTCACATTTCACCGGAACCTGATGTGTACCGTATCAACAGTACGCGTTTATTACTCATTTTTTTGTAAGCGAATGAATGAATCCCCTTAAAGTAGAAGTTTGGCGTCTCCTATCCGTTAGAGAAATAAATATTCTTCCATACATCAGCCGATATATATCGTCAGCACTTCCTGCCGATTGCCTTCTGACCATCTGATATCCATCAAAGTGTAGCGTAATGCTGATAGAATTTGATCGAAAAAAATGTAAATTCATTCAGGAATCTTGTGCATACTCATGGAGTAGGCGGTGATGAGGTACACACGTATTGTGTGAGGTAAGACGATGCTACTACCTGGGTGGCAAAACCTTGGTAGATGGATCGGTGCTCGAACCCACGATGCACTGTGGTTGAAAGTAAACTACCTAAACCAATGAGCCACAGCTCCGCACAGATTTTGGTCAATATTGATCAATGCTCATTAGCCACCTACTTCGAGATGAGATTTCTCGATGTTTTAAGCAGAAGTCGTTACGTTTTTGAGCAAATCAAGTCGGACGTGAAGATAAATATTTAGCATTGGGTAAAAGTCTCACGATATAGCGAATCGACAGAAGTAGGAAAATATAGACTGTTGAATTCCAACCCGTTGGCTCAATGGTAACGGGCTTATCGTGAAACCTGAAGATTCTAGGTTCGATGGTTGGTTGGGTCGTAAGTGTGCTATGCTATGGAGTCCCATAATAGAATGGAACAGCTGCCCAGTGCTCCTAGTTTTCCAATTGTTATCCAAGTTATCCTAGCCCATGATAAATACTAATTTGAAATCAATGAATAAACCTCCATGAACTTTCAAATTAAAAAAGTTCATCATTTTGACCAAAGAACGAGATAAATACAAAGTGGGTGTTTATATAGCTATCTGTCTAATATCTATGTGAATACGTTAAATAAACAGTACTCTGAAAAAAAATTTAATCAACTTTTCAGAGCAGCGTTTAAGTTAGTAAAACTGACAAATTTCAACGATGACATAATTAAGGTAAAGAGAAAGAAATATGAAATTGTCCAGTACTACAATAGTATGCTACTGATAAATAGGTGTAGACTTTATACAGGCTAGCGGTAATTCAAGTATATATATATAATTATATATATATATATATATATATATTGATCAGTTTATCGAAAGACTAGTCTTCAGTGTGGAACTGTGGCTTATCCGTTCAGAGAAATGACTTTCAGTCAATGAGCCGCGGGTTCAAACCCCCCTCCATCTACCAAGGCTTAGACAGCCAGTTAGTAGTATTATTAGCCCTCACCCAATAGGTGTGTAGCTCATTGTCTGCTTCACGAATGTGTACAAGGTGACAGAGCGCATATTCATCCTGGTGACTAGCAGTGGAATCCAGGACTGTGGTTTCGTCCTACTTGGGACTCACTCGTCAGATGAATATACTTGCACCCCCAGTAAGTGATTTTGTTCCCATGGAGACTCGAACCCAGTACTCATCACTTCAAACACCAAAGCATCTAGCAGTTCGGCCCTGTATAATAACAGGAAATTAAAAGTATCAAAACAACAACTGATGCCCATTGCGCAAGAGGCGGCTCTCATGCATCGGTTGCCTAGTGGATAACTCTGACGTTTGAGGTGGTCGGCCCTGGGCTCCTAGTTGAAATAGCATCACTCACTGGGGTGCAGGTACATCTAGCTGATGAATCCCGAATAGTAGCAGGTGCACGTCCTGGATCCCACCGCTAGTCCATATGACTATCCGGCAGTGCCGAACCCATATGCCAACAGAGGAAATTACTAGTATCAAAACAAGTGTGACTGAGTACATTTCCAATCTGCAATGTTTATCTGGGCAGCAGAAATACTGGAGTATCACTATGCAACTGAGCACCCTGATTCAGATTTATTTATCAAGACTTTGAACTATATTTCATGTTTTTTAAGTCCATTACGCCAACTGATCGCTCTGATGGCATGAAGTGGGATGGTGTTTCGAAGCTGTGTGACCTCAGTGATATTGGTAGCCAGGTACTTACAGCGCTGGCCCACAACGTTACATTCTGAAATCATGGTTAGTTGGATGAATACTCTTTTATTAAGATGTTCACTCTTAATACTGATTCGTTAGTCTGACAACAGCTTTTGTTAGGAACTTCTGATTAGTTAGAGAAACACTGATGAAACAACTGCCAAATTTGATTCTTTAAAAAAAATTATTCCTAGGCAGCTCATATACTTATTCCAGGTTACCGTAGAGATCTCAAATTTGTTAATTCCCACGATAGGTGGTAGTACACTCAAACGAATATCCTAGATATTATGAGATCTCACACCAGCGAAGCTTTTCACCTTCAATATTCTTACATTGATGTAGATGTACGAATAAACAAGTTGAACTAGAACACATTTGAACTTAGCTTACAAATTGTTCAGTTTCTGAAAGACTCAATTCCAACCAAAAAATCAATCCTACTGTGAAATAAGTTAACCTTCTACGAAAAGCTGTTTTGACAAATATCTGAAGATGCATAAATCAGACTTTTAAAACAGAGATGACTCTATATGGGTGATTGATACAGATTTGCAAGGAATATTGTATGATTTTTGTGTGCGGCAACATCTTGCAGTCTACCCATCATTCCATTACTTGGTATCTTTCTTTTCCCAACAGTCAGACCTGGTACCTACAGATTCTGATCATATTCTGGTATGAGGTTAGACACATCTTATCTTTCTATGGTCAACTAAATTGTTTTCTTGTAGACATTGACAAGACTTCATTTCTGTAAGTTCATGTACCTTACTGGGTCATTTCAGTTCATGTCTCTAAATAGCGAGTACAATGATGCCCATAACTGTTTTCATCACTGATAAACTTCAGCTGTTGTAAGTAACTCCCTCACTTTGTTGTACAAAGCTTCATGTGGAACAATGTTGTACGGATGACAATCTTTGAAGACTTAAGAAATATCTGGTGGGTCATTTAAGAAAACCAGTTCAAACAGGTCAACGATTAAAGTAGGTAAATTTGTTTCAGAGAATAAACAATTTGAAGATGAAGGTTAGTGCAAATATTCAAGTTTTAGAAGATGTCAAGGAATGAATACATCTTCACCGTTGTGACCGATTTTTAGTCAATTCACCAAGAATCTTCAACCACTGATTCCTATCGTCTTGAGACCAAGTCAGCTGGGCACTCTACATCTTCGCACACGACTCAGAGACTTCATGCACCGGTGTCATGTCTTGGTCTAGCAACTGTGAACCCTCTTCTTTTAACCTAGTTCAACTTCACATAGCATGCATGTCACGTCGGGGTAGACGATGGCTCAGTATGCATAGTTTATGAATGCCTGAACATCTAACAAAATAATACTTTGAAGCATAGCTTAGTTCTTAAAGTGAGCAAGTACAATTTGGATGACCTGCAATCTGAATTATTAATCACTGTTACACTGCGTACTTTATTCATAACGTATTCAGAAATAGTGTCGGTGATAACCGCCCATATTTTAGTGATCTTTTCAATGTCTCAGCACTTTATTTATTTTCAATTAATCGTTCTTGTTTCTGTTTATCCTTTTTCTTCAGGTCGGACAGTTCTCATCATTGCGCATCGATTGAGTACAGTACGAAAGGCTGATCTAATTCTAGTTATGTGTAGAGGACAAATAATTGAGGTAATTAATTATTTTATTCACTTGTTATCGTTACCATTTTCATAGTTGTACAAGACGTCTTTTAGATAGCATGATGTACTTTTATAGCCTTTCCAAAGACTTGATAACACTGATGTTAGATACTTGGAGACATTAGTCGACAAAGCATTTCTACAACATCAAGAAAACTGATTTTTATCGAACCTGCACTGCAGTCGTAGACGTTACTGCTGACCTATCTATTGGGTTGCGATTGATCTCTTGTAAGACTTCATTCAATACTTTTTTTGGTCAGTGGCATATCGTCTATAATTCGGCTTGCACTCCAGTGATCAATCATCAGTACAGTTTATTTACACTATTATTGATTTGTTTTTAAAACGCGCGCAGTCCATTCTTTCTAAGAGGATCTCACTCCATAGGTTTTAGTCCATAGCATGTAGATTAGCTATTCTGTGTTGAATGTTCTCAACAATCATTTGAAATACGATGATTTTTAAAGCCTTATAAGACTTCCATAAATGAATTAGTATCATTTATAAAGTGTACTTCAATTTGACAATGACTGTTGTTAGTTATGTACATCAATTGTCTTATTGATTGATAGTTGTATCTTATTGCTGTTCTCATACTTATAGTCTTATAAAAAGTTGGATAGCCCCTCCACTCTTCTTTTTCCAATACAGTTTTGAGAAAGTTAATATTCTTCGTCTCATTTTCAATAAACAGACTTATGGAGTTGAATTTCAACCAGTAGCTTACGGATTTGAGCCCCGTCAATACTTACCAAATTGATAGCATTAGCCTCTCTCTCTCTCTCTCTCTCTCTCTCTCTCTCTCTCTCTCTCCACACACACACACACACACACACATCAGGCATGGTGTTTTATCTAATATCTGGATACCCATGTTGGCAGAATTCAACGTTATTATTTTCATTCAGCTACTTAGTTATTTAGGCTTGTAACATCCGGCTGATGAGTCCTGAGCTGGATAAAACGTACATCTTGGATTCTTTTACTAGCCACTATACATCCTTATTATCAATTAGTCATTATCTACGCAGTTGACAACAAATTAGATTGTATGTAGTGTACTAAATCCATTTGTTAAGTCTTTACTTTTCATTCATTGAGGTTACATATTTAAGGTCAATGACCTTTTTAAGTACTTAAATTACCTGGTGTAATTAATAGATCAGTTGGTGTTATTTTCTAATCTACCTCTTCTCCAACCGAAATTATGAATAACTTGACTGAAGTGATTATCTTTGAATTGAGGACTATTTGTTAACAATCTAATTTATCCAAGTGTAAAACTTGGACACTGTGGTAGAATGTAATTCCATATTAGATTTGTTTATTTGGTATAAAGCGCACAGTGATACAGTATTATTTATCATCTGATTATTGGCTGTTTAAGTATGATTAGAAAAAAGGTTATACCTATTCACAGTGAACTGCATACAAACTATACATAAGCTGATGTAAAGTACAGATGTGTAAGGTGTTAGTTGGTTGTGAAGGCAATCAGTGGTAGTATCAGTGGTGGTATCAATTTGATGGCAACATATCTATATCATAGTCAACTTTCATCATTCAGTCCCCATAGTCCCATGAATGCATCACTGTTTGGCTTGAAGGTAACACGGAGAAGAAATCAACCTAAGTTAGAGCACTGATTGTTACTTGACCTCTCGACAAGAAATCATGTTTATGCGAAAGACCTTGTGTAAATGATGGATAGTGGCTAGCAGTGGAATCCAGGCGGAGCGTTTCGTCCTATTTGGTACTCGTTAGCTGGATGTACCTCCCTCCCAGTGAGTGATGTTCCCACCCGGGCTCGAACTCGGAGCCGATCGCTTCAAACGCCGGAGCGTTATTCACTAGACCGTTGCTTGCATTACACAAGCAATAACACTAAAAGACCCTATGATTGTGATTGGCTGATGATTTTTTTAGAAGAGAGATTGAGTAGTGTCGTTAGTCGATCTACACCACAGAATGGTTTGTAATTTAATGCGTATGATCCTGGTGCATAATCTTTTAGTTGTGTTAATACCTTTATTTCACATCTTGTGTAAAGAAACTTGAAAACACTTTGAATCCTTTATATAAACTATGATCAAGATTTGATCGTATAGTATGGATGATCTCTTCTGTCACATAAATAATGTGTGTGCAAGTATCACTTTCACCAAGGAAGTTGAATCCAATTTGTCGAAATTAAACTTTATGGACTGTATAGTGGAGAGACAGGATTATAACAAACTAAGGATTAAGATGTTCAGAAAAACAACACATTATGATAGATATCTCGATTATCAGTCTGCACATCCTTTGACCACTAAGGTTAATATCGCACGTAATCTGATTAGCAGGGCTAACCGTCTTGTTACAACGGAAGAGAACAAGGAAGAAGAGTTAAATTTAGTCTGCCGCACGCTGAAAGCAAACGATTATCCCAAAGGTTTCGTTAGACGTATTTTTAAAAATGAAATTAAGGATGTGCCAAAACTCCCTCCGAAGAATTGGACAAGGACGGTCATAATCCCATACCGAAAGGAGACTTCAGAAGAAATAAGAAGGATTCTCAACAAACACGACATAAGAGTTTACTTCCGTGCAACAAATACCCTACGTTCTGACCTAATGAAAGTTAAAGATGTAATACCTAAAGAAAATCAGCAGAACTGAGTCTATGAAATCGAATTCGGAGACTGTACTGCAGTATTTGTAGGGGAAACGGCCAGACAGGTAAATGTGAGAGTCAATGAGCATAAACTATACTTGTGGCAGATCCCAAAAACCCCAGCAGAGGTTAAGAAACTAGAAAACAAATCTGTGATCGCGCTACACTCCATAGAAATAGGATAAAAATTGACTTTGACGGAACTAAGGTTCTGCAAAAAGATTTTGGGTCATAAAGACTGACAGCCGAAGCTATATATATAATATATGGGCGCGAATCCAGACAGTTTGAACAAACGAGATGGAGTACAGTTAGCTGCCTCTTGGCGATTACTAATTAGTAGACAGAAAGACTGACTCAAAACATTTACCGTCAACACTGGTCTCAACTCCATTATTTCTGCATCAACAACAACACAACCTGCACTGATTTGATTCACTATTACTATCATCATCACTATCATTACTACCACTCATTTACACTGTATTCCGGTAAATCAATGCGAAAAGAATTCGCTAGCACTATTCACCAGCTGAAATTGTATACACATTCACCTCATCCTTTTCAATTTGTACTTATAAAATTACTGAATGACTGTCACCAATGTCCTTTTTGTCTGATATTTACAATCAAGACGAATATGAATTGGAGTACATACATACATACACCAAAAGACATACAATTTCACACTGAATGACTAGTTATCATAATTTAGAAAGATAATGACTATACGAAGAGGATTGGACGAGAAGATTAAATACAAGTTCTTTGAATTCATTTATATATCCTTGATGTTCTAGTTTTGATTATTTCCCTGAAGAAGCCTCGAACCAGACTTCCGTGAGAAACGTTGGAATTATTTGATTTCAAACCCTCTGTGATTTACACAAATACAATCCTATATCTAATGTCACTTTGAATCCGATGATCAATTTGCGAATGATTTACAAATCGTACGCTTTCTACATCAATATTTCTCACTTATAATCGGTTTCCAAACGAAACTTAATTGATATCACCAGAGTTGTGTCAATGTGTACCATAACATTTGTAAATCATCAGTTAGCTAACCAGATTACGGTGATCTGAAGTATTTCGGCTCTGTAAGCTGAAATTGTCCGAGTTCCTTTGCTCTGCCCTGAACGACCGAAATAGCTTTCCTGTGTTTAGACACCTCTCTCATCTGGCTGGCGAAACTTTCAGATCAGCCTGAGTGGTTTCTAACTAATCAACGTGTTCAGTAGTAGTATATATTGCAAGATAATACTTTTTCGTTATCATTCCTATTACTTCTTATTCTTATGTGTATGTGGATAATATACTTATTTTACCTTCTCTTACAGAGAGGAACACATACAGAATTAATGGCTAATCAAGGATTCTATTATGATCTTGTACAAAGACAAGAAGGTCGTGATTTGTTAGATTAGACTGTATGCAATAGTTTTGTATTTTCGCCTTTCTGATATCTTTTCCACTTTTTTCCTTATGTGCTACACTACTTTTCCCTCCCAAAAATACACTAATTCTAGAAAAATGTATTGGCTTTTATTATGTGCTGATATTTGTGACGTAAGGGATAACGCTTTGGCGTTAGAAGCGATGAGCACTGGGTTCGAGTCTCATTGAGAACACCATCACTCACCGAGGAGCAGGTACATCCAGCTGACTAATAATAATAGTGATAATAGTACTACCGTTACCACTGAAAAATTTACTCCTACTACTGACACCAATGCGCACACTGCTGCTACTGATCCTACTACTACTAATAATAATGATACTAATGGTACTTACATCATTACGACTACTACTACTAATACCAATGCACACACTACTGTAATTACTCAGAGTGTTGTTCCTACTACCTGCACTACTAATGCTCATACTAATATTACTGCTACTATCACGTCTACTAAGTTATCGCTTTCCACACTGCTGCCACTACTACTCACCGTACTCCAATTCCTCAAACTACAAGTGATACTACCACTTCTTTAATACTCACATTATTACTACTTCTAATACTACTACTCACACTAAAATTATGACTGGTAAATGTACCACGATTTTCTCTTTAGTTCACAGGGAATGATATACTTTAATAAGGAAAACAAACATTCGGATAAAGCTGACAAGACGTGCTGTTAAGTTTCAGTTATATGCGTGATTCAACACAGACTTGGAGAAAAAATACGAATGGTAATAAAAGATTACGTAATGGGACTAGTAGGTAGGCTTAGGTGATGATAAATCAACAGACAAATTATGTAGTAATATAATGAGTTGAACTCAGTCGGTAGAACGATCGTCGAAATTGTTTACGAACAGTAGAAATTTTCAGTTGAAATAAGTGGAAGAGTTGAAAAGTACTAAGTAGGCCGGACAGAGAAAGACTGGTCATTGCATTTCTCCTAACACACACATTATAAGATGTAATATGAGAACCTACCAACTTTTGATTGCACCAAGGAGTTTGGTGTTCTATTGAAAGGGATCAACCTAGCTACAGGATGTGTATTGCTTCGTCATATAATATCGGAATAAGATTCGCATGATCTTCATAAAAAGCCTTAAATCTCTGAAGCTTTTTACGACCAATCGTGCTGCATCTAAATTTCGAGAGAAAGCATGTGAACTGAAGTGTAAACATCAGATAGGTTGAAGGGATGAAGATCAATAGAATATTCAAACCTAGAGAAACCTTGGAATAGCCAAAGTCATTGTAAATAAATATATATAAACTCTTGTGTCTTGTGTACATTTTGACGTTGCAATACACCATTTGCTATTATACTGCCCTTTCCATTTACGGAGAAACTGAGCGACCATCAAGTGTTGGGATCTGAAAGTTATTGTTCAGTCGTCCACACTCTCACATAAATATACAACTCAAGTTAAGATAGTTCAGTCCGATTTCAGCTTCCTTCTGGTTTTTCCTGCAATTCAGTCACCTTTAAAGTTGAGTTAAATCAAAACAGGCTTCTTATTTTAATGATGAATCGTGGCTAGCAGTGGAATCCAGGATGCACACTTCGCCCTATTTGAGACTCATCAGTTGGATGTACCTGCTTCTCAGTCAGTGATGTTGTTCCCACCGGGATTCGGACTTGGGAGCGATCGCTTCAAACGCCAGCGCGTTATCGACTACACCACCGAGCCACAATAGCCACTTCTTGTGCAACGGGTATAGTCTTCAGTATAATTGGTATCATGTAAAGACAAAAGTTTTGTACCATTGAGAAGTACACAGTGTTCCGTTGCTAAGCAAAACGTCTACATCTCATTACCATTTAGAGGTGATTCACATAGCTTTGTTGTGAGGAAAAGACTTGGATCGGCCATCTGTAAAACGTATTATGCAGCTAAGGTCATCATTGTAGGGAAGACAAAGTCCATGTTACAGGACAAACTAAAACAACATATAAACGATTACATCACATCCTACTGTGTTTATCAATTTACATGTATGTGTGGACACATACAGGGAGGAGTAATCGTGATATGCAGTTAAGGTAGGTTGAACATGTACCTAAGTGGCTACAAAAACAAATGACCTCAACAGATCCGATAAGTGCAGGTGATAAACATCCATCTTCGTCTATCACTAAACATATACTAGAAACTAACCATAGGATAGACATGAAAACAGCCTTTAAAGTACTACACAAAAGCCGAGTGCTTAAATTTATTGAAGCTCTTGCCATCCGTAAATTTAAACCCCCTTTATGTATACAAAAACAATTCGTACTCACGTTGAACTCACCTTGGTAGTATTGATTTTAATTTTCATACCAAGAGTAAGGTTTTCCTCTTTTTTTCATCCCTTCCTATTCCTATGTATCCTATTAACTTCATTGACCTTTTTCGTAAATTTTCACATAAACAGTTCGACAAGTCCATGTGTGATCAGATTGTTCGAAATGTATAGCGCTAATACATCATGACATGTTTCAGATAATCTTCGTCTTCTCATTACGCTGTTTAAATTTATCAAAGGGACCAGTTGCTTTAAACTTTATAAACGATTTGAAAATCTCACGTAACCCCTTTTTGTTATCATTCGACCTTTTCGTCATCAACTAACAACGTTATAATTATCTATGTACAGATTGAGAATAAATTCGTTGAAAAGAGTCCACTTCGCTGAATATTTTGTTTTTCATGTCACAATGTGAATAATGAACGTGAATCCTTCTAGCTCTATAAAATAGTGTTATAATTAATCCTCATTAACAGTTAAATGGAAGGAAGCTAAGAAAATTTGAGCTTAGTTCGTTCTATATGCTCTATCGATAAATGAAAGCCCAAAGAGAATCATTCTTTCTACTTTGTAAAGTGATATCTAAAAAGCTGAACTTATTGTTTTCATGTTCCATAGTAAACTCAATGTTTCTTGAGCATCATTTCCAAGTTTTAGTAAGTAGGATGTATGAGGTAGATTGTTGAACACAATCAATGTGTCGTCGATATTTTTGGAATAAAACGTTGCCCTTTTATTGGAGTGTCTAGACTTTTCTTCTCATGGTTATCCATAAAGATATCTGCCAACACTGAGCCCGATGAACTGCTCATTGTTACTCCATCAGTTTGGTGACATAGGTTATTATAGTATTGAAGCTGAACGTCTTTGATGCACACTAACCTCAAGCTTTTAAATTCCAAAGTTAGAAGACAGATTAAGTTGGAATACTTGTAAATAACACCGACATCCATATCAGTAGAGGTCTTCGTGAACTAGGGATCTACACCAAATGACACCATTAACTTCTTATAGGTTTTGATTCCTTACATATTCAATGAACTAGAATGATTCCTACAGTGTGTGTGTAGTTACATAGGTATGTAGTATTATCAATAAGTTTCTGTTTCAATAACCTCGCCTGGTTAACTAGTTCACTAGTTACTAGCCGGTCCTAAGCCCGGGTAAAGAGGGAAGGTTGGGCATAGGGCTAGCAACCCTACCCCGTAAAACAAATCTAACCGCTAAAGAAACTTCAAGGCACAAACAATAGATAAAAAATAAAAACGAAATTATTCCTCGCTGGAATCGGAGAGGCGAAATGACGCCAGTTGGTGAAAGCCTTCGGGAAGCCAATTGGCCGATGTGTCTTCTCTCGATGAAAGCGAAAGTAAACGTGGGGACATGGAATGTCCGCACGATGTTTGAACCCAGTAAGGCAGCCCAGATTGCAAAGGAGATGAGAAGGTATAACATCGAAGTGCTTGGGATTTGCGAAAGCAGATGGAATGGGAGTGGACTCACCAAACTGTCAACTGGAGAATCAATAATCTACTCCGGTCACCCAGACGCCAACCACGAGCACACTGAGTTATGGAGTGGCTATCATGATGTCCTCAAGAGCATCGAAGGCTCTCATGCAGTGGGAACCAATCTCCTCCAGGATCATGACAGCAAGGTTCAACTCAAAAGGAAGAAAGGTCACAATCATACAATGTTATGCACCTACAAGTAATGCAGAGCAAGAGAAAAAGGAGGATTTCTACAGACAACTTCAATCAACACTGGACAAGACGTCAGTTGGCGATATCAAAATTCTAATGGGCGACATGAATGCCAAACTGGGAGGGGACAACACGGGAAGAGAACTAACCATGGGTCGAGAGGCGCTAGGTGAAATGAATGAGAATGGAGAATTGTTTGCAGAATTCTGCGCATTCAACGATTTGGTGATTGGAGGCAGTGTGTTCAGGCACAAAGATATCCACAAAGCGACATGGATTTCACCAGATGGACACACTAAAAATCAAATCGACTTTGTCTCAATCTCAAGAAAATGGAGACGCAGTCTACTTAACACAAGGTGAAGAAGAGGAGCAGATGTAGGTTCAGACCACTATCTAGTGCAAGGAACCTTCCAAATCAAGTTGAAAGCCTTCAAGGAAGCTGGTGATAGACCGCAGTTCAAGTACAACACTCGGAAAAACTGAAGGACCAAACTACAAAGGAAATCTTCACGGCAGCCAGCCATCAAGACAAAATGGGAGATATCGAGGAACATGCCTGAAGAAACCTGTGTGGAAGAACACTGGAAATCTTTGAAGGAGATGTGGAAAGAAACCTGCATAACCGTATTAGGAAGGAAGAAGAAAGGAGACAAGGAGTGGATGGATCTCGATGGACACATGGAAGCTGATAGAGCAAGGAGAGGAGGATGGTGAAGCAGAAGATAAACCAGTGCAGTGCAAGGATGCACAACGACAAGAGGAACTGAGTACAATGTATAAAACACTACACTGGACAAAGAAGTGAAGAAGAGTGCACGGAAAGACAAAAGACACTTCTACGAAACACTGGCAAGTGAAGCAGAACAGGCTGCCGGCTGGTAGGAGAGATCTGACGACATTGTATCAAATAACCAGGTTGCTATCAGGGAAGAGATCAACACAGATGAAACCAATAAAAGAT